CCCTCTCCCCCCCCCCCCCCCCCCCCCCGCTGTTCTGATTCCTCCCCAGGGTTGGCCAGGTGGTCTGTGGTGTTACTCTCTCCCTGCTGTCTAAACCCAGGGTGCGCTAATAAAGGATGTCCCTACTTAGCACCAACCTGGGATAATCATACCAATCGCCCCTCAGTACCCAAACATATACACTCTTATCAGCCACCGCCAGGCCTCGTTGCTACGCATCTCTTCTTTCCTTCCTTCTACTTGTACTTCGACCAAGACATACGGCCAAGTGGACAGACAGACAGGAAATTCCTCTGCCCACTACTCGACCAGTGCGCATTCGTTTGTTTGCCCCCCGAGTCCCGACACTTAAATGCGAACGATAGCGCTCCACCCCCGATCAGGAGAAGAAGGACGGAGAGGGGCAGGAACAGCAGCACCGGCAGCAGTGCTTGACGACCACCCGTCTTGAATTTTCATCTGCGAAAACGCGAAGGAAAGACCCTGTACGATCCGACAGAATAGAAACCGAAGAAGCTCCCAGGCGAAACTCGAGGGTCCATCGAGGCCTTGGACTTTGAGCAAAACAAAAAGAGGGAGACCAGGCTTGCGTGGTCCGTACCCAGCTTCTGCAGGTGGTGACTGCCTGCCCCGTTCGGCAGCAGCGCACGCCTTCCTCGATACAAAGTATGCTCCGTCTCTGCTGTTTTCACCTGTTCCTTGCTGCCTTTTGATCCGGAAACATCAAAACAAATAGCACGGCAGAGATTCTCTTGTCTTTCTCTGCCTTATTTGATTGCTTCTTTGTTATTTCCAGGGTCATCCCCAAGTTGGGCCTTGTTGGCATAACATCATATTTCCCCCCTCCTTCCCCCGTAGAGCCGCTTGATCCGTCCGGCCCGTGGAGCCAGCATACAGTTTGAGACACTGCAGCTTATTTCGCTGCATGTCGGTCTCACAAGGCGCGCGCGGCGCTGCGATTGCACGTTGCACGCCGCTTCAGCATTCCAGTGCCACCTCGCATTGTTTCACCCAACGCCTCGGTCATGGTCCTACCATCGCTGTTGCCTTTTTTCTTGAGATCAGAGATCCGCTCTCTCTGTTGACCAGCTGGCTGGCCACGACTCTATGTCGTTGTGTCGGACAAACGAGACGGAACAGCCCAAGACTGACTGAATTTCAATAGGAGGCTGTCGATCGGCAATTGAAATCCTGTCATCTCTGGATTTTTCAATCCCCGACTACACAAATAGCTCGAAGAAGTCCGAGAAACCCGAGAACCGCGATGGCTAGTTTTAGCCGCTCCTTCAAGCCGCCATCTTATTTCCGGCCCAGGCGACCGAATCGGACCTCGAGGAAATCCAATAACCCGTCAGAGGCTTCATCGCCGGCCTCGTCGGCTGCGTCACTGTCCGAGTCGGACGAGGAACAATTCGTGCTGTCTGGCGCCAATACTCCGGTCACCGAGAATGCGCCGCCGAGCGGATCGGGCCTGTTCGGCGCCACAGCTGCCGGTCGCGGCACCATCCCGAGTAAGTTGGATCTCGGTTCAGTCTTTGCCTCAGCCTTCCATGCTCTGTCAATCTTTGTCTAGCCCCTTTTTTGTCCTTCGCAGTGATTTACTTGGCAATTGCCATGCTCTCGTGTTATCATTCCCCTTCCGTCCACATTTTTGTTTTCTTTGCGGCTGCACTCTGTGGACATGGCATGGGATGGGCCCTGTTGAGTAGCATCGCCTGGCCCTGTCAGATCCTGTCAAAAGGGTATCGGGTGTGTGTTCCCCGCGAAAGTGTCTCCCAATGATACGAGGGTCAAGGGGTCCGCGGAATGCCCAAGCGGAAAAAGGATTACGGCGCCGCAAGCCTACCTCCTGCAGGGTCTAGCGCCCTGACGCCCGTGCCTCCTGTGAGGCCTGTCGTTCTGCGCTATCCATGCCGTTTTCCGGGCGGTTGCGGCGCTAGCAACGCTCTGGGACCCGCTGTCAAAATCATGCACGCTTTGCGTCATTACGACACGACGACCCTACCCGTCGACACTAAAGACCCCGTTTTCGCTTCTCGTCTTGCTTTGTCGCCGCCTCGTACTCTTTGTCTTGGGGGGTCTTTAATAATAATAACACTAACACCTGCCCTCCCGTTTCCCTTTATTAGCAAAAGATCGCTCCCAGCCCACCGGGAATGTCTCTCGATCACTCGACACCCCGAGACTTGCTGCCCGACCAATTGCTATCGAGCTGCCAGCCCTTCGCAAAATCAACACAGCCCCGGTTTATACTCCACCGGAGCCTCTGAGCGCGCGAGGTGAACGCCCTGGGTAAGTCGGCCACTCTGGCAGTGGGTCTGACGGACCTGCCGGACGCGAAGATCTCTCATTAGAAATACAGCGAGCGAGATTACTGACTTTCCTTCTTCATGACCACGCAGAGGATATTTTCCACTTCACGAGGACCCAAAGTCCAGAGTTCACCATCCGCACCCTTTTCAGCTTGACATCAAAAAGGCGCGAAACAATTCGATAAATCTTGCAGTCGAGGCCGCCAGCCCTGAGACGAACCTTGGCATCCCGCCCGTCTCTGTCACCATGGCCGACAACGTCCATTACCCACTGTTCGACGGCGCGGACTCATCCAGGTCAAGCAGCACCAACACACCCGTCACATCATACCTGCCCAGCGGTGTCCACGAGACGCCTCTGCCCATGGGAAAATACTATCCCTCCAACTATGAAAACCGACAAAACTTGAGCAGCTCACAAAATTTGAGGCCGCCGACGAGCGCACCCGCCCCCACTCCGGGCAACGTCAAATCAGACTCGCAGGTGCCCAGATACAGGGGGGACCCAAAGCATTCTCGGACTGACTCCGAGGCAAAGCGCCGCCTGCAGCAGTACCAGCGCGATATGATTGCGCAGGCCACGCTGGCGGCACGGCAGGTTCTTGGCGGCACGGTGAAGCAGAGCGGCTCCAGAGCCGGAGCCCCCTCCACCGGCGGCGTCTCGCTGCACAATATTCACCTTGGCGCGTCCCTGATGCATAAGCCGCTGTCACCCAAACTGATGCCCCTCGGCAGTCCCGGTCCTGTCACGCCGATGGATCTCGAGGGCGAGGGAGACTCTTACCTGTCGCGAGGCCGTCCCATGTCTGGACCCGATGCCGATCGCGAGACGGAGGAGGTTGCTCGGGCGATGAGGATGGAGGAGGAGCGGAGGAGGAGAGAGGGTGCCACGTCGCCTGCTATTGAGCTTGGGCCCGTCACGTTCTAGGCGAACCGCGGCACGAAAGAGCAATCGACAATTTCGGTCCGGAAAGGCACAAAACCGGCGAGATAGCTCTTGCGCTGTGCCTCGAAACTTTAGCTCTACGGAGGAGCCCTGTTTCGCGACTGCGACTGGCAGAAGAACTTCCCCATGGGCGGTTGTACGACTTATGAAAAAGCAAGCATTGCATTGAGCGGCCTGGACTTTTGTCTCGGTATCAGCATTTACTCCCACTCAACTCCATCGGCTATCATGGACCTCTGGCTACTACAACTGGCTAGTCGAGGAGATGAGACTGCCATTAACGACGAGAAATATTCTTATCGAATCTGGCGGTTCCCACCAGTTCCTCGGCACCCATCGTGGCCGCCTCTCGGATCGGCATGGGCACATGCCTTCCACATTCATCAGATTTCCACATCAAGATACCCCCGGATTAGCAAGACCCTTCGTTCTCGTCATTATTTTTTTCCTTGTGTGTTTCAACATAGCGGAGGATCCACATTGATCCCTAGATAGATTGGCACCAACTGAAAAAGGGGCCTGGGGAAGGAAGGCAATTTTAGTTTTGGTCACTTTTTCATGTGTCCCATCTTTCATTGAGGTTGTGTATCTCCTGTGTGCATTCGACATGTTGCTTCCCATGTGCTTTGTTGTGTGTATGCTATTGGCAAAGCAGAGCGTATTATTGACAGCAGGGTCGGCTTACGTGCATGGGAGACTTACATTGGCTTTGTAGTGGGCATAGTGATGAAATGATGATTCTACTACCCCTTACACGATTCAGGAGAGCACTGGGACTGGAGGCCTTGGATTGGTACGAAGCCAGAAGAAGCTAGGTCTCTAGGCAGGCAGGCAGGGAGGAAACAATAGCGCCTTTGGCTAAACACGCCTAGTTGTTTCACATCAATACACTGACTGTGTTCTCAATTAGCGCTCAGGCCGATCATCGCGAAGGCTTCGCGACGCTTGAGAGTCAGGCTAGGGGCAAAACCCCCGGTGTAAGTGCGAAATGCGACTACAGTACGTCGTGACACTGACTTGTCCCGTCTAAATGCTCAGCTGAACAAAAATCATGTAATGCACGCCAAGTTTCATGTGCGGTTCCGTTCCAGCACCAGATTACCGAATGCGGACATCCCCCGCAAAGCTTCCAAGTTTTTGATTTGATGTATTGATCGTGGGTGGTTGGTCCCCTGGAACCTGTCAAACCTGCCAAAAACGTGTTCTGCCCTGAACTTTGGGTGTCAGTGGGGGTGCCTAAATGGATCATGTGACAGCGTGTTGTTCAGGCGACTTTCTTGATGTGGTGCGTCGGAAAGTGCGACACGCGCCCCACACTTGCACTTTCAGCAAGACGCGTGCCGCGACTACACTCCTGCGACATTTTTTCTCCATGGTGGTGAGTCGGAAGGCAACAGCGTAGCGACTTTTGCAATATTGTTCAGAAGCACATTTCTCTCAAGGGAGAGATCACGACTTACGATGATAATGCCAGCCTCCATCCTTCAACCACAACCCGAGTCGTGACGCAAACGCGCGCAAAAAGAACAACCATGGCGTCGCGCTCCTCGGCAGCAGCACAGCACTCACCCCACCAGCAACAGCGCAGCAGCACCACCACCACCGCCCCGGTCCTCGAGTACCTCTGCCTCTTCACCCACGACCTCAAGCGCAAGCAGAAGCGATGGCAGGACGGCAAGCTGCGCTACCACGCCTTCAACGGCAAGGCCGTCGTCCACGACGAGCGCGGCAACCTCGTCGGCGACGCGCACGCGCACGACCCGCCCCGCGAGGGCGACGAGATGCAGCTCGAGCGCGGCGGCGGCGTGCTGGTGCAGGTCGCGTCCGAGGTCGTCGGCGTGCAGCAGCAGGACCTGAGCGCCGTGGTGGACCGGCGCGTCGCGGAGCGGGAGGAGAGGGCGCGGGCCAAGGTCACGGCCGCGGCGGCGGCTGCGAGGAGCAGCGTCGGCAGGATGGGGCGGCCGGCGACGGGGCCCGTGGTCGTGCATACGCCTGTCCGGAGCAGCGAGGCGGACCACATGCGCCACCGGCCGCTGGCCAGGGTGATCGGGACGCCGACGGGGCACCACGGCCGGGCGCTGGTGCCGAGCGAGTCGCCGTTTGAGCAGCGGCATCACCAGCAGCAGCAGCAGCAGCAGCAGATCAGCATGAACCACACGGCGGGCGAGGCTGTGACGCCGGCGTCGGTTGCACAGCCGGCGGCCAAGCGCAGGCGGTACGAGGACAGCCCGCCGAGTAAGGCCGGGTACGCGCAGAACCTGTTTGGCGCGAAGCTGAACCTGAGTTCCCAGCCGACGAGCTCGCTGCAGAGCCTACGGGCGGCGGCGTCGCAGAGGCGGATTGCCGAGAGGGCGGCTAGGGCTGAGCACGAGGAGGAGGAGCGGGAGTTGGATAAGGGTCCGGCGACGAGGCCGGCAGCCAGGGACTTTGGGCGGCCTGCATTGGGTGCGAGCAGGTCGCAGGAGATTGTCGTTAGTGATGATGAGGAGGAGGATGCTGCGCCTGCAAGGGAGGTGTCTCGACAGGAGGCACGGCTTCCTGCGGCTCGACCGACTGTACGGCCTGTTGTCAATAAGACTCCGAGAAGGAGTGCGGTTGGCCAGATGGTCAGGCAGAGCATTGACGCGGCTATGCAGCAGCGCTCACATGAGCCGAGCACCTCGCCGGGACAGTCCATGCAGGGAGAGCGGAGGAATCCGACAACTGATAGGCAAGAATCGCAACGGCCTCGAGCGCCTGACCCGATACCGCCCGAGAGCGAGATCATCGATATTGACGCCGATGATGAGCCGGTTCCTCAGCCTTCGGTACCTGCTCGTCACGTCCCTGTCGCTCAACAGAGGAAGAGGAATCAACTGCTCTCTCGGGCTACGAATCGGGGAAATGTGTCGATTGGAGACGTCGAGAACACGTCTCGCACAGCCAAGGATGCAGCTCCTATTTCAGTCGAGCCAAATGCCGGAGAAGACGGCCAGCAGGCGGCACATGCTCCAGCTAGGGACGGACCTAGGACCGAGCTGCGTATCAAGTCACGAAAGAAGCGCGGACTGCTGATGGTCACCGAGAAGATCGCTCCTCCGAAGCCAGCATCTGAGAAGCCGAAGGCTCAGCCTGCGGAACGCGAATCCTCCGAGACCCTTGACGCGGAGAAGTCGGATCCTTTTGCGTCATCCCCACCAGGACGGACAGGGGAGATTGGACTTGACTCTGCCCCGGGTCGCGGAAGCAGGAATAACAATACGGCAGAGCCGATTGGACATCTTGCCCAGGAAGTCTCAAACTACGATCAAGAGGGATTGGACCTTTTGTTCGATAACGACGAGACACATTTCCCGGTCGCCGAGGAGCCTGTTGCCTCGCGCGTGCTCAAGGACTGTACGAATACCATTCAGTCACGCAATACAGATGTTCAGGACAAGAGGAAGCCAACTCCCGAACTAGCGAAACAATCATCGAGATTAGAGGAGGTTACTACAGCACCTACCGCATTGGACGCCTCACAGGACGCTGGGCTGAAGGAGAAGGGTGCCGAACTGGTGGGAGCTGAGGTACTCTCGGAAGACGAGTCTGATAATGTGCAGATTGTCCGGAAGAGGACCAAGTCCAACACCAAGAAGACACGAAAGGAAGCCACGTCCCCAGTGGTACCGGATGCTTCAGGTGACGACGATGAGCCGATCGTGCCGACAACAACGAAGAGGCTTGCTCAGAGGGCCAGTCGCAACGCTAGGGCAGCCAGTGCTTCAGTCGACCCGTCATCTGACGAGGAGCCAGTTGTGGCCAGAAAGACGAATCGACTGATTCGAATCGACACTCGCAAGACAGAGTCTGCCGAAACTTCACTGGACCTTTCCTCTGATGAGGAGATACGCCCTCGCCAGCGGTCCAAGAGAACAGCCCAACGCCACCGAAAAGAAGAGCCTGTCGTGATGTCCCCCGAGGAGGATTATTCAGACCAAGCTCCGCCTGCGAAGGCGAAATCAAAGCGTCGCCTGCGGAGCAAATCTCGCGATGACGAAGAGCTCGCGGCTCTACGGGACGACGACGACGACGACGAAGCATCGGAAGACATGCCTGCTCCGCCGCCCAAGAAGAGGGCGAGGAAGCGCGCCAAGGACAAGAGCGAGCAGGACGATGAGTCGGCCACGTCGGCCAGAGAGGCCAAGCCGGCGCCGAGGCTAGCTCGCCTGAGCAAGAAGAGCGTCAAGAGTCGGGAGCTGATCGGGTTCAATTTCGATGAGCCCAAGGGGCCGATGACTTCGCTGATAGGAGCCGCGAAGACTGTGGTCAGTATTCAGAGTCGGAATGCGAGCGACACGTCGGTGGAGAACAACAGGGAAGGAAGTGATTCTCGTGCTCAGTTGGGTAACGATAGAGCGTTGTCTGATGTGCCTGCCGAGCCGGTTACGGCGACTTCGCCAAAGAGGAAGAGCGTCGAGCCTGTAGCCGTCGAGGTGGTCAAGCCTGTTGAGGAGGAGCCCGCTGCTGTGCAGGAATCTGGTTGCAAACAGGTCTTGGAGAGCGCCCCAGCCACTGCCGCACCCATCGCTATTAAGGAGACGATGGCGATTGCCAGCAAGATCATTGATGCTTGGGAGTCGCAGCACGGCAAAGCCACGAGTACGACCATGGTACAGGAGCCAGCGCGGACGGTCAACGGGCTCGTGCTAGATAGCGCGTCTGCATCGGGGGCCAGCATTGCCAAACAGACGGAGCAAACCAACAAAGCAAATGAGTCAGCCGTGCAAGGCACCACCGAGGCTGTCCCGACGGTCCCTTCGTTGCCTCAAGGAGACAGCACGCTGTCTACAAAGTCGGCGCCGGCAGAGACTACAGCCGCAGAGCCAGACAAGACGGACGAGACCCCGTGCGAACCTCGAGACCGACCACAGCCACAGCCACGGCAACCCCCAGGGCGCCTCTTCCGGCGCCAAGCCTCGGTCGGCATGCCGCCGCCGGCGCCGGCCGCAGGGTCTGGCGCGCCCCGCATCGCCAACCCAGCCAGCCGCGGGCGCAAGGCGGCGCTCAAGTCGGACGCCGCAGGCCAGGTGCCGCAGTCGATCCTGTCGGCCTCGACGCTGTACGGCGGCGCCGGAGGCGTCGGGGGCAGCATGATGGCGATGATGCAGATGCAGATGCAGATGATGAACGCCCAAGGCGGACCAGCAGCAGCAGCAGCAGCAGCCGCAGCGGCAACGGCAACGGCAGAAGCGCTGGAGCCGCCTCCGCCCAAGAAGGTCAAGAAGATGACCTTTCCCGGGTTCCAGCCGGCCGGGGGCAGTGGGCCTTGGAGTAGGGAGGCCTTTGACCTGCTGGAGATGGGAAGGCCTTTGTAGATTCTGATTGGATTGGCGCTGTGGAGGTCTGGGTCCGGGTTAGATGGAGGGGATGTGTGGTATGAAGCGGCTCTTGGTTTGGCAGTGTTTTCGGAGACTTGGGCTTGGTTTTGCGGGATCGGTGTGCACCTTTTTTCTATCTCGGCATTGCTGGGACGCATGCATGCATTTCTCACCGAATGGGTCGGTGGGAAATCTGGAGTTTGGGCAAGATTACGCACGCCACATTCTGGCTTTGGTTGATGATGGATGGGAATTGCCAGATTAGCATAGCGGCGGCACAATGATGCGATACCAATTTGCAGTGACCAATTCAGACAAATCACAACGAGCACCAGTATCTCATCTGTGTGCTCGATCTAGAACCATCACAACTGTGTGAACGCATGACACGGGTGTGGTGCCAGTTTGGTATGACGCGAATGCAGCCAAGTTTCTTTGATGGGTGGTGCGCGGACCGCAACGCTTTTTTCTCCCTACTTACATAACTAGACTGCAGGGCGTCTAAACCCAAACAGCCACACCGCAACAAAAGTAACGGGAAAACATCAGGACGCACTCTTACTAATCTCTGCAAAATGGGAGTCATACCAGACTTGGCGATCCCAGAGCAGGCCAGATGTTGCAAGACCTGTTCAAACTCTCCTTCATCACCACTCTTACTCTTGGCTTTGCCTCGTTTGCCTCCTTTCGCAGGCTGACTCCCCGGCTGACTTGTTGAAGGACGGGGGAAAGAAGAAAGAATGAGCAGCTCCACCTTACAGAGACAAAGTACGCCATGCGACCATAGAAAGGCAGCCTTGTGTCGACTTTGCTGACAGTGACAGGCCGACAGGTGAGTTTTCCTAGGGTATACAGTACGGTCCCCACGCTTTGTACGTAATGCCAGAGAGCTGCTGCTGCTGCTTGTCGAAAACTGCGTCGCGCACGAGGGTGCGCGCACCACCAGCTTGGGTGTTCTGGGGATCAGGCTGTTGGTAGTTAGACGTAAAAATATGTCTGTGGCGCGCTGCTCCGTGAATTGAATTTGGCGGTGTAGGTCCAGTCACCAACCAGAGAGTTGTCTGGCCATGAGTGTTAACTACCTAAGTTAGTGTTGGTGTCATAGCTAGCGGTGGCCTCGGCGGGAAGAGCCTAATTCTGGCCGCTGAAATCAACGCCCGTAAGCCGCCGCCGGCTCGTCCCATTCAGGTTCAAGGTCCGGCAAACACTCGTCATCCCGAGTCGACCACCGAAGGCCAAGTGACGATGCGGTTCCTCACACCGCTGTTCACTTGTTTTGTTTTCCGTCTTTTTCTCTGCCAGCTCATCAACCACACAAGAAAATCCTCGGTGAGCAATCCCGGCTGGCAAAGAGAAGAAAAGCAGCCGCAGACAAGCAAAAGGACACTGCTGCGGCGCCCTTCCAGAGGCTCCGCGTCGTCAGACGTCGCCGAGGCCCAATTGCCTCCTCCAATGTGGCTCAGCCAGTCGAAAAAACCCAGCTTCATTTGGACTGGACAGCCACCCGGCACCACCCATTCTGGCGAAAACCCACACCCCCTCCACGTCTACCAGCTAACAAACGGCAACTCAACTCTGTAGAGCCGAGTCCTGCTGCGACAGTGCAAGAGGTGGGCTTGGAGCTGGGCGACGGGCTGGATTGAAGAAGCACACAGTTCCGGGGCGACATCAGGCAGGCAGGCAGGCAGGCAAGCAGGCAGACGGGCGGAGCACCATCCAGCCTCAACGACTGGCCGAGCACACAAAGATGTATGCATGCATGCATGTATTCCATATCCTCTGCGTTAGTCCACCACCAGCACTGCACAGCTGCGTCCTCCCGCCGCCGTCCCAGAAGGCCACCATACGCACACACCCGTGCATCATTGCTCTATCGAATCGAAGTGCTAGTTAGTGCGCGCCCGAGTCAAGCTCACAGTAGGGTGGTACTTGTCCGCATTTCCTCGTCCGCGTCGCGCGCGCAGTCTGGCAACAATTCTTCCCCCTTTCTTTTTCCCTACGAGCAAAAGCAACGAAAACCCCCCGTTTTCTGCTTCTTCCCTAGGGCCCGCTCGTCATCGACTCTTCCCACATGCTCTCCACGATCGGGTCATCTGGAAAGGGAGATGACCTGCATGCCGACCGGGACTCTGCGCAGGGTGGCATGGCATGGCAGGCAGGCACCTCTCGCCCGTTGTCGTTGTCGCTTGTGGACCCCAACGTACGTCGAAAAAAAGGGTGTATCATCGCGTTTGCGGGTGTCGCAAGCAAAAAGGAAAAAAAAATCGACCATCCTTCCAAGAATGCCCAACACCCCCAGCACTCCCACCACTTGCGCCCGGGCTCTGTGCCCGTAGTGTGCCTTTGAGGCTCAAAATTCGGTCTCGGTTTGCCCAACTGCGACGCGTAGTGTTAAAGCAGCCTTCCCTCCTTGAGCGTCTCCCACCTCTCGAGTCCCCCTCCCCCCTTCCCCTCCTCCTCCTTGCCACCCCCGTACCTGAACCCCAAAGCGATTGTGTGACTGACTCTCCCGTCCTCGTCTCCCCCTGGTGCCTCTTCTCGCTCAGACAACCTGTCTCAAGACCCCGTGGCTATCTCCTTTTTATCTGACACGGGTGGGCTGCTCAGAGCTTGCTTCGTCCTGACAATCCATCCTTCACATCTCTCCCACGCCCAGTTATAAGTGCCAGACACCCAGGATCCCTCTTCAGCTCCAAGACACAGCCGCTTGTTCAAGGGCGTACTAGGTAGCCGGCTGACAAGGCTTTGCCCTCATCCTCGACCTCTGCTGCCTTGATTTTGTGCCCTCCTCCTGGCCACCTTCTGTGGTCTTCCATCACCAACGTCCACACACAATCCAGAAGCCTGGGACCTATCAATCATGGACGGCTCTGACCCCCATAGACCGCCACACTCGACAGGGACAGGGTCATCAAGTCGCCACCAACAACATATCCCTCCTCGCCAGGATGCCAGAATCGATACGCAGTACCAGGCTGCGCCGTCTCAGCAGCCGCGTCGCAGAAGGGCGGCAACATCGGCGGCCGCCCAGCCGCGCTCGCAAACTCATCTCTCGGTACCAGAACAAACGCGCCATCGGAGCACCAGGCAGGTACACGGCCCGGAACCCATGATCCGCGGCGACTCCAGTGGCAGTGCGGGCTCCATGACGCGCCAATTCGAAGGCTTGACCACGGGGGAAGGAGAAGCGCAGAGTTTGCAAAAGGGAACCCAGCGCGGGAGGCGCACAAAGAAGCTCGACCAGCAGACCCGGGACCATGCCGCCAAGGTACGCGGAGTCGGCGCATGTAGCGAGTGCCGCTCGCGCAAAGTAAAGGTGAGATGCAACTCGCTCGCCGCCACCAAGCCGACATAAGAGAGGGCTTGTTGCAGAGGCCGTAGATCGCTGGCTGACCCAGGAATGCTGCAGTGCAAACATCGTGACCATCTCTTCTATCCCGAAGGGAATGAGGCAGTGCCCGTTCCCTCTTTAGCCTCCCCCGGGGTGTCCGAGTGTGAGGAGTCGTACACACCTACAACAAACAGCCAATGTGGCGAATTGCCTCAGGGCCTGCTGCCGGGTGGATTGGCGGGCGGGTCAAGTCCATGCCCCATGTCGGATCCGGGGATGACAGTCCCGCTTGAATCTGACCCGGTGGCCGACATGTTGACGGGGCTCCATAGTGCGGACCGAATGTCTCTTTCCATGTCTCCTTCAGGCATGCTCTCCGCTCTGGATAACAACGAGGAGGATCGTGCCCTCCAGCAGCAGATTCCCCTGAGGCCTCAGAGCAATGAATACCAATCACATCCCAACCTTGGTTCGGGGGCGCCTTGGTCAGCCAGTCTCCTGCTCCAAAACTCAGCATCCAACTACCCCGACGATTCAACAAATCTATACACGGCCATTCCAGCAACCACGTACCTCGACAATTCAGCAAGCCCATACAACGGGGTTTCAGCAGACACGTACACCGAGAACTCAGCGTCCGAGTACAGTGCCGATTACAGTACCGAGAGGGTCGGCAAGTATGTGCCGGTCCTGGCTGGTGGTAATACGGGGTCCGACGGGGCTTGGCTGTGCCAGTCCCCAAACTGTGATTTCCGGTTCCATTTACGAAACGACCTGCAAATACACTATCAAACTTTGCATGCGGGGTTCAACGAACAAGATGCGCGCGAAGTCTTTCGATGCTCACTGTGTGACAGAGAGCCTGATCTCCATAGCCGCCCCTGCGACACTTGGGGGCAGACTTGGACCTGGACCAAATGGTATGAATATTACCTGCCAGTGGCGAATAACTTCACGACAAACGTGGCGGGCCCGGCGACCTTTGACGGGAACTCGGGAGGAAGCTGGACAAGTGGAGGTTTCAACGGTTTCGGCGACGGTGGATATTTCGGAGGCGCGGGTTCATCCGCCTCAGCGCACAATCCCGGCTATGGCGGAGGTTTCATGTATGGAAACGGCGGTGGGGGCTACTCATACAGAGCATGTGCTCGCAACGGCAGGATTGCTCTCGCGGACGACGAGGAGAGGGCGGGGCCGCCTGGGACGGGCAAGGTGGCGTTGAGTTTGCGGCAATGGTCGAAAAAAGAAGCTGCGTCGTCGACAACGATGGTGCACCCAGTCTTCGCGGCACTGGTTGGGAACTGCATTCGGCGGATGATCCTCGAGGAGCTTCGCAAGATCATGTCTTTTGCGAGGCTGACGCAGGATCCATCTCCAGCAGTCAATGGACGTTCGAGTACTGCCTCCTAGGCGCTCCTTGCCTAGCCGCATGCCTGTATGGTCCATCGAGGTGGCTCGTCGGCGCCTTGACCAGACCAGCGCGGCGCGCAGAGACGGAGAAGGCGGCAGCTGCTATTGACGAGGCGGGCGAGGGAGGCAGCATCGTCGATCATGCTCGCGTGGAGCCTGCGACTGGCTGGCAAGATATTTGGGGTTCTTATATCAGGTGCATTTCGGGCGTTTGAACGGCGGCCGTTGCTCGGTATTTCTTTTTCTTTGGGCATAATGATGAGCCATGATCAAGCAGAGTGGGCGGCATGTTCTGGAATTCGGGTTTGGTTATTTCATCGATGGGAGCAAGCGAAGAGATGGACATGATACCCCGGGAAAGGTCAGTCCGCCCGATACGAACGAAGCGCATGGACGAAGGCAACAGTCTGATGAAGGATGAGGTCTGATATGATTGAACAGGATGGCGTTCTTTTGGGATTTTGGATTTAGGATGACACATGGGAAGAAATGTGAGATTTGGTCTGGTGCATTAGGGATGGCTAGAGGCAAATTTGCACTCTTGATATCAGTCTGTACCTTCCGTCAAACAATGGAAAATCGCCCCTTGCTAGGCAGGCGTAGTCCTCGCTTTCCCGCTTCACTCCTTCCCGCCGCGCTGGACGGACTGTGATTTCTTTTCCAGCTAGCCACCTTTCCGTGCTCTACGGTACTTGTTGTTATGTTTTGACTTGCCACAGACCGTCACGAATGAATGGTCAAGGGATTCCCTGCTTCGCGATGAGACCAGGAGTTCGAGACCAGGAGTTCGAGATAGCGGTTGGCGCTGGAGTAGGTAGGTTGGCAAGGCGCCCTCCCCACTCTGCTTCCCATCCAGTGCCTCGCTTCAACCTTGTGGTCCGCCCTGGCCTGCATCAGCCCCGAAAAATGGGTACCTAGGTGTGGGCTTTGGCCTCGAGCTACCCATCCACCCCCAGAATCCTTTTTTTTCCTCCTCTCGCCCTTTTCATGGTCTTGTCTGGTTTCTGGTTTCTCATCTCGCGCTCAACCCTGAGACGATGAGTCAATTGGACTCGAGACTGGGGTGCATTCCATCTCCCAAGTTTCAATTGACACAATTCGTCCGAGGGATGCAGCCGTGGGATGAGCACGGCATTGATCCAACCAGGAGGAGGAGGAGGAGGGGGGATCTCGAATGTCGAAAGACTCATACTTGCATTGGAGATTCCGGGGTGTAATTGGCAGGGGACGCGGAATGGGAAGATGGGGGGCACCCGTTGACTCATACCACGTGACGCGCTTGTGTCGCTAGGGTCGTTTTGAGACATGAACATGAATCCATTGATGAGGTTCTGGTCTGATAGGTCAGTACAACCTCATGGGCCGGTCAATGAGGTGTTGGAACGGTCCTGGTTCTATTCGGCTGAAGCCTTGGAATGGCTGTTGTGCTTGCTCAGGCTACCTTGCCCCTACAGCTTTTCTGTCCTTCCATCGACCGTCCCAACTTTGACATGATGATTGACAGCTGTAAGCGCACTGCATCGTCATCAGCAGCATCAGCATCAGCATCAGCATCGAAAGTACCTCCCACCACCCTAACCCCCTGCACTAAGCATTTACGAGGTGGTGGAAAGTGGGTGCCTTGGGCCAGGTCTAGTGTGGTATGACGGGAGGCCACTCTTTCTATTCTTTCTCGCCGGTCAGACTAAGAGACGACCTGCAGGCGGTGCCAGATCTGCCCAATCACCTCTCTCCCTTCTGCCCCCGCTCTGGGAATCGCCTTCTGCAATTGGCCTGGTCGCCCCGATGCGCTATCCCCAAAACGTCTCGCCGATGTCTTTTCAATTTGGGCGGCTGTGCCCTGGAAATCCAGCAAGTCCGTCTTTTGGTTCATTGACGTCTCCCGCATCGAGGCTCAGCCAGAGTGAAATATCGGGCCATGACTCCCTCCCGAGCGTCCTGAGGATTCTCTCTTCTTCTTCTCTTTCACTCTTGATACTCTTGATAGTAGTTTGTTTCATTCTGAATCATCTCTTCGCCCTGAAGACAACGGCAGCCCTCTTGCTTCCGCGCCAAATTAGCGCCCGCAACATCCGCCCGCCGCCTCGACACACCCACTGTCAGCTTTCGCCCTCGCGCCCGCCAAGTTGGACAGGCAGCAGTTCTTGTTGCAGTCTGAGAGCACCACACACCCGCACCGCACGTCTCTCGTTCACGCGCTGTGTGGCTGCCTCGCTGCATCTCCCTCTTCAATCCTCGAGCTGTGTCGGCCTGCCTCACTTCTCTCCGCACCAAACCCAACCTCCGACGGCCAGTTGCCTGTCAGCATTCCCTAAACTGCTGCCAAGCCTCTGTTGCTGCCTTTTCTTCTTAGAGAGCAGGAAACAACATTGAATCAATTGCCTCCCGAATCCACCGCATTGTCGGGACGGAATAATCCAAAAGTCTTGATCCCCAATCTGTCATCTGTGCCTGTGTGGACAACGTTGGCTCATTCAAACGGAGACCACACCCACACCACCATTCCCACGCTGGACGCGAACCTGCACCGCCAACCCTTCTTGAGTGTCCCGAGTGCAGGGTTTGTCGCCATGTCGCGCAATAATTCCGCCGCCACCATCCAGGGCTTCTCGGTCTTCCAGCCCGCTCTCGGCGCCCAGCTGCAGTTCATGCCTGCTCTCGGCACCCCGGAGCTCGATGCCATGATCGACGCCTTCGTCCCTGGCCCCGCTTCCATCAAGGAGAAGCGTGCTTCCATCTGCATGGACTTCTGCGACTTTGCCGCTCAGACCGGCGAGGCCTTCAAGTTCTACCCCGTCTTCGCCCCGTCCTTTGCCTCCACCTCCACCAACTCCCCCGCTAGCTCCAGCGCCATGTACGACTCGGGCTACGGATCCGGCTTCAACGTCTCTCCCGTCATCGCCGACGCCAGCACCTTCGGCCCGGCCTACGCCACGCCCTCCGCCTCTTCTTCTCCGTCCTTCACTCCCGCACCCAGCCAGCAGACCAAGCCCAAGTCGGCCAAGTCCCGCAAGTCCGGCACCTCCTCCCGGACCGCCTCTGACTTCTCCCACATCCCTGGCATGAAGATCATGACCAAGGACGGCCAGGACGTCACCAACTCGGCCTCTCGCGGCTGCAAGACCAAGGAGCAGCGCGACCACGCCCACCTCATGAGGATCATCAAGGCCTGCGACGCCTGCCGAAAGAAGAAGGTCCGCTGCGAGCCCGGCCACAGGAAGCGCACCGCGTCTCAGGCACAGACACAGCCCGAGACCAAGCAGGCCGCCAAGAAGTCCAAGAAGGCTGCAGTAGCTCCACAGTTCGACTCGTTTTCGGCTGCGCCCGACTTTTTCGCCGGCAGCTCCCTGCTTCCCCTGGACGAGACTGTCGCCTTCCCGACTGCCGAGGTCCCCTCCGCCGAGTGTTTCGAGGAGTCCTGGGAGCAGTTTGTCACCTTTGACGAGGAGCCCGTTGGACTTGTCGCGCCCGACTACGACTTCTTCTTCGACCCCGAGGGCCACTACTCGCCCAGCTCTGGCTCTTCTGCCTCGCCTTCGCAGTCTTTCACTCCGGGCCTGTCTGCCAGCGCTTCACTGGCTCCCGTCGACAGCGGACTAGAGACGCTCATCCCGTACCGCGAGAAGGCCACCCTTCCCTACCTCAACCCGGGCAGCAGCCACGGCTCCAACTACGTGGACTTCAACCTGTACTCGCCTGCTTCTAGCTTCCTGGACGAGGAGCCTCAGCAGCTCAGCAGCGCGAGCACTTCTGCCAACAGCCCGGCCTACGCGGACAGCTACAATGCCCAGCCTCGGTCCTCGCGTGACCTCACTGGCAGCACTGGCGACCGTGTAATCGATGCCGGCGACCACGTGGGTAGAGCACCGGATATATGTGGCTACGCAAATTCCTCATCGAGTGAATCGTCGCCACAAGGCCTAGGCCAGACGACGATCATCCAGTCTACGGGCATCTCGTACGCCCGCGACCACTTCCGTGACCACTCACTCGACCCGAGCTCGGGCGCAGTGCAGTCCGGTGGTCTCCAGACCCAATCTGCCTCTCCCGCTGTCGACAGCAGTGGCACCACCTTTGCCGACCAACCGCAGAGCTACTATGATGGCACCGCGTCACCCGTGCCTTGGCCGAGAGTTCCATGTGTAAGCACACCTGGCCCTCCACCCCCCCTGCCGATACTGACTTGTCAAAAGGACTCACGTGGACCACAACGTGTGACACTGAACACCGTCGCCGGACAGCCCGCTGCTGATGCCGCGCTTGCTTCACAGGACAACCACGACTACTATAGTAGTAGTGTTTCAAGTGGCCTGAAACGTCGTATCACGACAACGACAACTACAACTACAAGAACCACTACGACCACCACTACTACTCAAGACGGCACTACCTCAACAACTGGGCTGAGCTACGCAGATGTCCCACTCAACACGCGTGCGACCGCCGAAGCCACGACTGCGAGAGCGGTCCTGAAGGTGATATGGTCGCAGCCGCCGGCCCAGGTCAGCCTAGCTCAGCAAGCTATCGATGGACCGTCACAGGTCCTGAGAACCCTGTCCACTGCCCTCTCGCCCCTGGAGATGCCATCCGCGATTGCGGCCGTGGCCGACGAGAATGCTACCAAGGCGAGCAAGAACGCTGGTTTTGAGGGCGCAAGCTCGCAGGCGCTATCCCCCGCTGGCAAGCAACAACCCCGCGCCGCCGGACAAGCCGCCCGGAGCCCTGTGTCGGTCACAGGACCCTCCGTGGTGGCGTCGGCAGACGCGACATCACTGTCAGCACGACGGCTGGCCGAGACCAACGTCGCTGCAATTGGCTTTATCTCGATCCTCTCACTAGCCATCCTGGCGCTACAAACACAAGTACTACAGCAGACAGCATCATCCTTCTCATCGTCGCCCTTTGGAGCGCTGTCGACCGCAGCCATGCTGTTCGCAGCTTGGTCCGCTTGGTCGGCGCCTTCATCGCCTGCCTCGTCTTCGACCCGAGCGCGCACGAGAACTTTCCTGGAGAAGACCTCGGTCCGATCGTCAGAATCGACCACGTCGAGGGCAATCCCCAAGGAAGGCTCGTGCTGCTCTCGATGCACCTCACCAACCCACCTACTCCGACATGTTGTCGGCGTCATGGTGTAGTGCGGTCATGACCTGAAGGCATGCCTGCGATGCATCGCTGTTGTACTTTGTTGTTTGTTTTCTAGCGCATGATACCCCCATTCTTACATTAGATTAGAAAAAGTTTCATACATCACTGGATGCGCTGTTCTGCCCTTTGAAACCCCACGATGTTTCTGTCGGGATGGGGTCGGGGGAGAGTGGTGTGGATACGAGCTGGCGAGGGGGTCATTCTGGTCAAGAACTCTTTCTGGTGTGTTTGGGCCTACGATGTCTGGTACTTTAGGTATGGTAGTTGGGGCCGGCACTGGCAATACAGAATACCCTTTTGGCTGCGGAATATGGTTTGCCTGTTTGCGTGTGATATTGAGTGATTGTGAATTGTGTCTGTCTCTGGTGGAAATCTGTCTGGTGGAAAGGTGCATGGATGATTGAGTGAAGTGCTGTTCACTGTGGTTCAGTGTGGTTTTGCGCCCATTCCCAAATCAGGGTGCAATTGTGGAGCGGGCTACGTTGATTTTAAGTGCTGGAAACAGAGTGCGACTGCCCAATGGTAGGGCCAGGCCAGGGGCGAGACAGGCTAAACCAGGACCAATAAAAACGTGCTAAGCTCATGAAAAAAATCTCACAAAACTTCTCGATTGGCTGGTTCTGCATCCAAGGGTCTGGATTGTATGAGAGCCACCGGGAGCGAGAGCCTCTCATTTCGCGAACCAGGTTGTTGATTGCCATTGGATGACTGATCGGGGTGAGATTGGGCTTCTTCTTTTTGCTTTGGGAGGGCAATCTGCTCGAGTGATTGGCTGTGTGCGACAAAGCGGACGGACGGACGGACGGACGGCGGCAAGAACAAACCCTTGCGCGCCGCCGATGACGACGGGCACGCACGTACGTTGACCTGCAGGCACGTAAAGGGCAGATACCAGATTGGCGAGCAGAGCAGCATCGAGCGAGGTGGGCTCGGTCGGTGCAAGCTGGCAGGCGGCGAGCGGAGGCAGGACCGGAGGAACTGACTGCTGCGGACAGGACAGGACAGGAGGGAAGGATACGCGCAGCTGCCGTGCGTGCCGGTGTCGGTGCTGTGTGTCGTGCTGTGTTCTGCTGTGTCTGTGTCACACTCACTGTGACCGAGAGGACTTTTTTTTTGCTTGGGTCGACGGAGGGAAGGCGCGCAAGCCTGCAACGCGCACGAGTCTGGCTGTGACTGCCCGCCCACGGATCAGTGCTGTTTGGCGCACAGCAGGCGGCGAGGGTAACTCAGGGAAGGAGACAAGAGAAGCTCTTGCTTGCCTTGGGACAGAAAAAAAAAAAAAAGAAGGGCTTTGCCAGGTAAAGGTACCTCCCTGAAGGAAGGGAGTTACGGCTTGGGAGCGCCGTGTGTGTACGTGCGCGCGTGGGTGTGACGCAATTGAAGCAAAAAGAGAAGGCAATTAAAAAAAAAAAAAACCAAATGGCTTCGTCCCCAGGGGAAACCGAGGAGGGGCCGGCGGCGGCGGCGGTGGCCCCTTCGCACCAGCAGCAGCACATGAGCAGGAAGTCGGGGTCGGACAGCAACGTTGTCACCCGCCTGCTGCGCGACCTTGGTTCCCTCATCGCCTCGCTCCTGCGCGCCCTCTGCTTCTGCTTTTTCGGATCGCGCTCGACACCTACTTCATCTGGACGCCGCTCCCCGGCCCAGGACCCCGTCACTTTTCCTCCCACCACCGCGCCCGCGTCCATCTCAGACGACAGCCATCGCTACATCAACGACGACTCCGCGCAGAGTCGACGCCGACGACAAGACATCGACCTCGAGCGAGGTGCATCGCCAGCAACAGGAGCGCTACGCCAGGAAGAGAAGAGCGTCGGCGACCACGACGAGGCCAGCAGCATGGCGGCCAGACAGTACCCCCAGCAGGCGCCCGCCCACGCAGTGGCCATCCCGCGGATCCCGCCGGCCATGTTCAGCAATGGCAGCGTCGGAAACAAGGAGAACGTCAGGGGCGAGGGAAAGCAGCAGCAACAGCCCCTCCATCAACAGGCCCAGCAGCACCAGAAGCAGCTGGCCAAGGGCCTGCAGAGCCTGCGCATCGACGATTCCAAGGAGCAGCACGACGAGCTGCCCCAGACGCTGCCTCTGACGGCGGCGACTCCGACGACGACCGAGGGTGAGGTGAAGACCGACGGAGCCAAGGAGGTCGAGGTCCTGGACCCGGCGGTCGAGGCGGCGAAGAATGTGCACAGGGCCTTTATGCATGAGGCGCTGGAGATGGTAAGCTTCTTCTCTTCTCTTGTCTTCCTTCTTTCTTTGTTCGTTCCTTGTGCGATAGCTTTCATGGGGTGTGAGGAGGAGTGCACGACTTCGCCCTTGTACTCCCTTGTCACTCTGTTGTAGGGCAGTGCAGACATTGCAGCTCAGAACCCCTGTGGTCTGGCGCAGGCGGCCTAGTTGATGCAAGTCATCAGGCAAAGCCGTTGGAGAACCAGGATCACTCTGTGTTGCAGCACATGCCAACACCCCTTTGGCTTTGATCCCGGTCGCAGGTCTCTGCTCTGTCTGTTCCGGTCTTTGTCTTACCGACTGTGTCCACCTGCGTACCACTGCACCGTTGGTCGCGTACAGGGGTGCATGGAGCATGAGTCTAGAACTTAGCATCCCACAGACATAATACTAACACCACCCCTCTGCAGGCCCGCCTCGCACTCCGCACCAACGAGACGCCCGTAGGCTGCGTCCTCGTCTACAAGAACCGTGTCATCGCCAAGGGCATGAACGCCACAAACGTCACCCGCAACGGCACCCGCCACGCCGAGCTCATGGCCATCACGGCCCTGCTGTCCTACTCGCCGGCCTCGGATACGGAGCAAGGCGATCCGAGCAACCCCGCAGACCACCCACACTACTGGGGCGACGTCGACCCCCGCGATGGACACGTGTACCCCTACGGGCAGAAGCTGCACCCGGCACCGCGTGTGTCGAGAGATATCATCTCGGAGTGCATCCTCTACGTGACGGTCGAGCCGTGCGTCATGTGCGCGTCTCTGCTGCGCCAGATGCGTGTCAAGAAGGTCTACTTTGGCGCCGTCAACGACAAGTTTGGCGGCACAGGCGGCGTCTTCCGCATCCACAAGAACTCGACGCCCGTGCCCATCCCCACGGAGCCCGTGCCGCGGCCCGTGGACATCGAGGTCACGCGCCCGCCGCTGGCGCCCAAGGCCCACTACGTCAATGGGCAGCCGCGCGATTCCATCAGCAGTGACGGTGGCGCTAGCAAGCATTCTTCTGTCGGTGAGAATGGCAACGGTGGCGGTGTATCTGGTCAACAGCCACGGCAGCAGCAGCAGCCGCAGCCGCCGCCGACACCCATCACGGCCATCGCCGAGGGCACGGTGCCGGGCGCGGGCCTCGAGGGCGACGGCGGCAACGTGGAGCCCGGCTACGACGTGGAGGGCGGCTGGGGCCGGGACGAGGCGGTCAACCTGCTGCGGCAGTTTTACGTGCAGGAGAATGGCAGGGCCCCGGTGCCCCGGAAGAAGGAAGGTCGGGCGGCGAGGCTGGCTGCCATGATGGAGAAGGAGGGCATGTCGACTGAGGGGCTGCCGTTTGTCAGCAAGGACAGCAAGGACGGCGACAGGGATAGCGCCACTAGTGGTGGTGGTGCTGCGGGAGTGCAAGGGGAGGGTGAGGGTGGTGAAGGGGAGGTTGAGGGTGTCGAGCAAGGTGTGAATGGCGATGGTGGCGTTGCCGTTGTCGAGCCCGAGAGGGAGGAGGAGGAAGACCTAATCGTCTTGATGCCCGCCGCTCCGGAGGTGGAGGCTACGAGTCGCGAGGAGATGTCGCCGCTCAGGTCGATGCGCCGCGGCGGCGGCGCGAGGAGGAGAGGCGGTGACGGCGGCGGGGACTAGGAATCTTCTGCTGGTGGATTGGTGGCGCCTAGGCCCATTGTTCGGTTGCCTTTTCAGAAGCGGGCGCGTTGAGTACTCCTTTGAGGGAGAGGAAGGGAGGGGGAAAAGAAGGGGATAGAGGGGAGTGTTGATGAAGTGGATGGCTCTTTCGGGGCGGTGGATATGGGATGATACGGTTTCCAGTGCTGGGGTTGAGGTTGTGGTGGTGGCATCTGCTGATTGCCGAGCTGGGGAGGTGTGCCTGCCTTTAAGGAGGTGCTTCACTATTTTCTTTGCAGGGGCGAAGATGTGGCATTTCCATATGCTATGCTATTCCATTCTTCGCTTTTTCTTTACTGCACTTTTCTTGTCGAACTAGATATGGCTTTGTCAATGCCAGGCGAAAGGTCGTTTGCGCGAAAGGGGGTTAGACGGGCGAGGATGGGATCAAGGCGGTGGTTGACTGCTTGAGGAGGGGAGGGTTTTTGGTCGATTGGTCGAGCGAATGCATGAGATACCACACAGTTCTAGATTGGTGTTGTGCCGAGTTTGTTACGAATACTATGCACTGTATTTCATCAAACCTGGACCTGACGAGGCTGGCTAAAGTGAATCCAGAGTTTGAGCAAGAGATGAGGGCTAGGTTTGTTGGTGGATTGCTTGGTGTTGTGGAAGTTGGTTTGATGTACCATCTTGCCATCTTGCCATCTTTCAACGGTCCGGGGAGTGGTGATCACAGTTGTGTTCTTGTTGCTGGGAATTGTCATGGGGTCTCTGGAACACTGGTGTTGGGCTGTTCAACTATGTCTCGATAGCAGTGTGACTCGGCTTGCACCTGGCAGAGCTTAGCCTGAGGATCAAAGTATTGTTGAATACTAAGTAGTGTTTCGATGCGTGCGTGTGTCTGCCTCGACAGGCTTGATTCTATGTCAGATCTAGCATTGAATCTTTTCTTTTCACTGCCCACGCATCTGGTCGCGCATGACTTGCAACCTTGAACAAAAGAGGAACACTTTTCGCTCCTCTCTTCAACGCCGCCAATCAATTTTATCCATTTCTGAACCCCTTTTCCACTTTCATTGCTTCTTGCTAACCTCCACAGCATCATCGGCAATAGCAGAGGCAGAGCAGCAACCATATTAGTACTAGGAGCAGGCATGGGAAAATATCCACTTTCCGACAAGGCTCATCACATGCACATCAATAACAGGATTAGAAGCAGCAGTGCAGCGGATCTGAGTGTTCCTTTGCAACAATCAACAATCAACAATCAACACTCAATACTCTATTACCCTTGAGAGCTCATTTCATTGCAAGAAGAAGAAAGCTGCTGATACGTAAATGCAAGCCCGGCAAGGTTGCTCGAGTTCAAAGTCTACTCCGACAGGTAGCCGTTGTTGCCTGTATCAGCAATAGCAACAGTGAGAATGACAACAAGGATAAGAGAAGCAGCAGCAGCAATTGAGTGTTCTCATAGGACACCGTGCCTGGTAATCGAGAGAGTGTACTGGCATCCCTCCCCAAGCTGGTCGAGGAGAATCCTCTCTCTGATTCGCCTGGCCGGGGAACAACTACGTCGTGCTGCGTGGTCAGCGGATGCGATCAAGAGACATGATGCTGCCGTCTGCCAAGTATCTACCGCTGACTTTTATCGACACCCAACTCGCGGACAGCAGGTTATCTTTTCTCCTTCCTTCTCTCCCTCTCTCGGTCTCAAGACCAAGAGACTATGACTATTCCTGCGTAGACAGTGAACATCCACTTACAACTAATTGTACGTATGGCTTTTTCGAATGCTAGACACACACACACACTGATGGTCTGTCCAGGGCATAATTCAGCCCAGCCGCTTCAGAGTGGGCTTCTTGCGAGTGTGGTTTTAGTTTAGATCCTGGACTGGCATGAGGGAAATGAGAAGCAGAAATGCGAAGAGTAGTTTCTGGCAAACGCATGGTATGCAGAGACCAATGCTAGTATCAAGCTTTCCTCTTTCTTTCGTTCTCTCCCTCTCGTCTTTTCCTCCCCAAAACATTACACCGCTAACATTCTTTGACTTCTTGACAGACCAGAGCCCGTGCCATTACTTTAGATTGATTGTATTTGCATCATCCAGCTTACATAACAAGAGTTTCCAACGTCAGCTGTTTTCAGTTTCTAACACGTCAATTCGTAATGCTATCCCTTGACATATCAAGTAGCCCGATGACCCTGACGCAGAGTTGATTTGGTCTACATTTTGAATATTGTTCTCCGATGGCTCCTCTGCTATCCCTGTGAACCAGGGCCTTTGGCGTCGTCTCAACTTCCTGCCTCTACTGCAAGTACTCCGCAGCGACAGCACACGACCTTGTCTTAGGAAGTAGGCGATAGTATAATAGATCTTTCCATCCCACCTCAGTAGGTGGGAAGTAAGAAGATCACCAAAGATGATTGATATGATCGATGCTTGCTTCGACGAAGCAATCTGCGATAGAGGTAGCTAAGAAAGCGGTCAAGAGTGAGATAGATTGTCGGAAATGGCGGTATAGGTTGGGTTGCTTGAGTAGAATAAAGTAGGAGAGAGTTGGGAAGGCGTGGGGCCTTCCCACTAAGTACAGTGCCTCCCAGTATCTTGAGTATTCATTCGGCTTGAGGTCAGATTCAACATAGATGGATGGATAATCGGGTGAGAGGTATAGAGACATGAGTACAAGTCGGCATGACGACAAGCGAAAGTAGTGACTTTCTTGCATAGCGCCTACATATCCTGCTGGACCTGGTTGCAGGCAGTGATATTTATCGCTTTGATCATTGCCGTTTCCTTTCTTGAGGGATAACAACACAAAGGGGTGACTCTCTGCCCCATTGAATGAGCTAATCAGCGTCAACCAGCTCGCAAATCCACATTGACTGGGCACAATTACTGAGGATCAAGTGGCAAGTCGTCAGGTTTCCTGCCATCTTTCTTTCCCCGTCTTTAGCTAAGTGGGGAAGATTATGCGTAATTAGAAAGCACCAGTGGGTGTACTGACTTCAAACAGACTGCCACCTAAAGCGACGCAACATCTTAGAATCTTCGAAGCTTGAAATAGTTACATCAAAGAGCCAAATGGGTGCCAAGTTCTGACTTCTCGCAGTGCTCATCAGCCTCATTTAAATATTGAGACTAGTCGCGCCAAAATCAGGAGCGTAATATCCCAAATCCTCCTCCCTCGTCCGATCTCTCAGGAACCCAATACCCTTGCACGCCGCCAGCATGAGCACAGTAAGGCGGTCGCCCCTATCCAGCCAGCGCAGCTCCTCCTCCGTCCAAGAGTCCGAGTAGTCGATGTACGTCATCTTGCGCGGCCGGCGACGACGGCCTCCCGCGCCGAACATGCCCGGCGGCACCGGCGGGCCGGCCAGGACGCCGGCCCTCCTGCAGCCCATCTCCCCCGTCAGGATGGGGATGGCCCTGAGCTCCGGCAGCTCCTTGCAGACCCGGTACCGCAGCGACGTGTAGATGGTGCGCACGAGGTGCGAGACGAGGACGGTCTTGTAGGCGCTCGCGACGACGCCGCCGCCGGCTTCTCCCCCGCCTTCCTCCTCCTCCTCCTCCTCCTCCCCGGAGCGCGAGCCACCGGCGAGGCCGCGCCCCTCGCCCTCCTCCAGCGCCTGCAGGCGCAGGAGCAGCTGCCTCGTCCACGCCGTGGCGAGCGCCTCCTGCCGCTCCGCGAGGAGGCGCATCCGCGCGCTCGGGCCGAAGAGGCACATGATGTGGTACATCGTCATGGCCTGGACGCGCACCGCCTCGGACCGCAGCTCGCGGAGACGGTGGGAGCCGCGACCCGCTCCGGCCGGGAAGTGCTCCGACCCGGACGACTCGACCAGCGCGGCGATCTCCGCCTCGAGCATCTGCTCAAAGACCGGCCGCCCGGCGCCGCCGGCCGCGGTCACGTAGGCGGCGCAGACAGACATGGCCCGCACGAGCGGGAGGGGCATGGCGCTGCATTCGCCGCCGCCGCCGCCGCCGCCGCCGCCCGAGGCTGGCGGAGGTCTCCTCGGCCTCGGAAGAAACGGCAGAGACCCCGTCCGCGAGAAGACGTGAACAAAGGAGAGGGCTTCGCCCGCGCAGAACTGCCACCTGGGCACGTCTTGGCCGCGCGACCACATCTGCTCCACGCACCGGAGGCGCGCGATCTCCGACACGCATTGGTTGTCTGTGGGGTGACTCGGGCTGTCTGAGCCGTAGATGCTGATTGGGGTGGACGAATCCGCCGCATTTACACTCGGAGCTGCTTGTAGGGATCGAGTCTCAGTACAGCTGGCGATCCCGACATCGAGGTTGGATTCTGTCGGAGAGGGGAGTGCAATGTGCGGCCCAGCCATAGGCATGAGCCATGCTGGAACAACGCCCGCCGAGCAAGCTGAGAAGTCATCGAGACCTTGGGGCAGCGAAGAAGCGCTAAGCGAATCGAATGGCATGCCAAAGCTGGGAAAGAGAAGGCCGTCGTGGTTGGAAGGCGACACGTTCGCGAGTCTCAAAGAGTCGGGGAGCACTGCCGCTGTTGTCGCCCCCGCGCTGGACCCAGTCGACATTCCCTGTGAAGGATCCAAGCCGTCGAAACCGAGGAATCTGGCCGTGCCACGAGCTGAGAGATGGATCGCTTGCCTAGAAAGGCCGGGGTACTCGCAAGTCAACGACTGGGTGACGCACCGGCGACACGCTGGCAAGGCGCGATCACAGCGCCGCTTCGCCGCGACGCACCCGGTACAGGCTTTCTTCCGGAGCGACATGAGCTGCCTCACAAAGGCTACTCCGTGCGCAAATGAATAGAGAGAGTTGCACACCGCATCGTTCGAGCCCCGAGGAGCTGCGTGAATGGTGCAAGATAGCGTAGCAAAGTTGCACCAGCTTAGCTCAGACGTGAGATTCGGACCCCTGGTCTAGGTACCTACCTAAGCCAAAGCTGAGGTCCCACCGTTTCCCACCATTTCCGTTTTTGGCGTGCAGAATTGGGTGGGGCACGATTCGCCGTAATAAACGGTTGCTTAGTCACATTGCAGACGTTGGTTGGTTCCAGATGGCCAGGGTTAGTACTTTATCTCGACAACAAAGCTCTTGTTTGGCGGCGCTTCCTTCCAAGATCGGGGTCACTTTAGTTGCCAATGTCCCCTAAAACCTTGAATGTAAAAAGAAAACGCCATCAACCTTACTCGCTTCCTGAAGCGTGCTGAACTCCTCGCAAGATGACTCGACATTCATTGATCCGGATGGCTTTGTGCTCATCACCGGCATGCATGCGGACTTGAGTGGAGAGCATGTCAACAGGTTGCCAAGATTCTATTTCGGCCCTGCGGAGTTGGGTGGGGCCGTCCCCGATCGCACACCCGACTCGGGATTGTAAATTGACCGAGAAAACCTCCTCATCCCATCGGTCGGCAGCGGACGAGAAGGAATTCGGAATCTCGTGAATATTTAAAGCGCCTTCGGAAGCCAACACAAACCGAGCATCCCCTCAACAAACAACACCTTCTCAATCAAACTCGATCAAATTCACACCGCACTGCGCAAAGACGTCGTCCAACGAATTGCAACCACACAATGGCAGCCAGCACCCTCCCCGAGACTTACAAAGCCGCGGTCGTCGAGACCGCCGGCGGACCCCTCGTCCTCAAGGACCTGCCCATGAAGCACCCCGGCCCGGGGCAGCTGCTCGTCAAGGTGCTAGCCTGCGGCGTCTGCGGCACGGACAAGCTGGAGCAGCAGGGCGCCCTGCCGCACCGGGACCCCATCGTCATGGGCCACGAGTTCGTGGGCGACGTGGTGTCCCTCGGCCCGGGCGTCGTTACCGGCCGCTTCGCGCCGGGTGACCGGGTCGGCGGCGCCTGGCACGGCGGACACGACGGCGTCTGCCGGGCGTGCCAGCGCGGCGCCTTCCAGATGTGCGACGGCGCGGTGGTCAACGGCGTGAGCGTCGACGGCGGGTACGCCGGATACGCGCTGCTGCGGGCCGAGGCGGCGGTGCCGCTGCCCCGGGACGCGGACCCGGCCGCCACGGCGCCCTTGCTATGCGCCGGCGTCACCGTCTTCAACGGCATCCGCAAGATGCGCGTCGAGCAGGGCAACCTCGTGGCCGTGCAGGGGCTCGGCGGACTCGGCCACCTGGCGGTGCAGTACGCGCGGGCCATGGGGTACCGCGTCGTGGCCATCTCGTCTGGCGCGGCCAAGGAGCGGTTCGCCGCCGGCCTCGGCGCGCACGGGTACATTGACAGCAGCGCGCGGGATCCCGCCGAGGTGCTGAGCGGCATGGGCGGCGCGGCGCTCATCGTGGCCACTGCGCCGAGCCCAACAGCCATTGGCAATCTAGTCGGCGGCCTGCAGGCACAGGGAAAGCTGCTCGTTTTGCCAATCGTGGGGCCTATCGCGGTCGACTCGGCGGCGCTGGTGCTCAAGGGCGGGGCCGTGGTTGGGTGGCCCTGCGGGCACGCCCTCGACTGCGCGGAGGCGGTGGAGTTTGCAGAGACGCATGGTGTCAAGTGTCTGATTGAGAAGTTCCCCCTACATGAGGCGCAGAGGGCTTTTGATCAGATGGCATCTGGGGAGGTCAGATTTAGGGCGGTTTTGACCATGGAATGAGTGCGTGATGCGACCCCTCCAACCAGCACCGGATCATGCGCGGCGGCGCGGGGTTGTCATACATGCGACCCCGCACTTGCGTCTTTCACGGGAGGTGTACAGGGCGTCACACCAGAAGAGGAGAAATGAAATCATGACCATGTGTGAATAGCTTGATCAAATCATTGTCAATCAGTCACAGGCCGATCCCAGGTAAAGAGATTCCCCAATTTTCTGTATTTTCTTTTAGATCTTCAACCTGAAATATTAAAGCAAATCCTAAATAAAGAACGGAGAGTAAGGAAGAAAACAAGAGTAAGGGAGAAAAAGAGAGTAAGGAGAGTAAGGAGAGTAAGGAGAGTAAGGAGAGTAAGGAGAGTAAGGAGAGTAAGGAGAGTAAGGAGAGTAAGGAGAGTAAGGAGGACAAGAAGGGGCAAGGAAAGGTATGGGAGACATCAGACAAAGCAAAGTCTCAGCTAGGCCGGTTCTGGAGGCCAATGAGAAGATTCTCTCTTGGTGCAATAGAAAAGGAAACGTAAAGCAAGGGAAATCAAACACAAAGTCGAAGAGCATGAAGGCGAGGATGAGAGACAAGGAAAGAAGGAAGAACACAACAAGCCATACAAGCTCGGGGCACTCGCAGCCCCCTCTGGCCCTATTACTCTTCAGTCTCCTCCGACCGAGCCTCTGGCGTCTGGCCCTCTGGCGTCCGAGCCTCTACGGCCTGATCCTCTGGCGTCCGAGCCTCTACGGCCTGATCCTCTGCGACACGCTCATGCTCAGTTCCGGCGTCGGCACCTCCCTGCGCACACTCATCTGGGTCTCCTCGCTGCTCTTCATCTCGGGGACCAAGCTTGTAGCGACTTAGGCCGTCCATGTCTACGGAGACCTTAATCGGGCGATGCGCAGACAACTTGGTGTAGTTGTGGGTGAAATACTCATAGTTGCTGCTCCGGTTGAATGCCAGTAATTGTCCAATTACCTCCTCGCCATAGATCCGCACGCCCATGTCCGTCACGAAGTGGACCTGCCGGTCCACAAGGTCCTCGGGCGTGACGTTGAGTTGCAAACTCTGGAAAAGTGACATGGAATTGGGGTCTGCGTCAAAGCGAAAGCCGAATTGAGCGTGCTTATCCGGGTGGTCCATGTCGAACACGACCTTGCGCTGGTGAGCTTCGGCCGTCAAATCCAGCACAATAGCCCCACGGGCGAGTTTGGCGATATTTTTCTCGAACATATGTGCAGCATGTTCGGTTTCCCCTTTTACCTCTTGTAGCTCCTCTCTGAGGATTGCTTCCAGCCTGGCCGAGTCTGAATGCATCCCGTGGATCATGTAGAGCATATGAACAGTCGAATACCGCCAAAAGTGGAAGCTGCGGACAAAGCAGTCGTCCTCAGTCTCCAGATGCGCTGCAAAGCGAGGTCAGCAAAGATCAGCATCTTGACTCTTGTGTTTGGGAGCCGTCCCCGGTAACAGCGGGAGAGGAGACTGGGAGAATGGGGAAATGGGGGCGCTTACCTTCGATCTCTCGACGTAGCTTTCCATAAGCTCCCCAGTGAGGACCGTGCCACTTGTTGAGGCTAGCCTCTGGCGAGAAGATGTGGTCCCACAATATGTGGGACACCCAGGCGTGGTGAATTGAATGTACAGACGAGGGAAAGTCATCGTCAGCCAATTCATCGTGGTTCCCCGCAGGTTTCTGGACAGGGTCGGCGAAAGGATCAAACGGCGCAGGACGAGGGCTATTAAAATAGATCTTGGCATCCGGGGCCCAGCTGCTAATGTACGCCCGGGACTTGACACTGAGGTCTTCCCAATCCAGCCACTTGAAGCCAGGCGTCAGATTGCTGATATCCTTTCGGTGAGAAAGCAGGACGCTATGAGTAAGCGGTTCGGTCATTCCACTGAAAAGAGCTTCATTCCAACGAAAGTTGGCGAGCTCGTCCGAAGTGGGGACCATGAACTTGGACACCACACGCTGAGAGAGTGCGGCAAGGTACGTGTGAATTCGCGTTTCGCCGGGTAGATAATCTGGGGCTTCTGGCGTGTCTGCCGCTGCATCCTTGGCTCTTGGTCCGGACGCAGGATCGGGGAGAGGGGGGCTGACTGGGAGGGGACCGGGGTCGCCTTTGGGAGAATTGCCTTAGTTCTTGCCGCCGGTGGGTGCAGCCGCAGGCGCGGAGGCCTGGTGAACGACTTCATCGTCTTCCTCGCGACCACTGGCAGGGGGGCTGTTGGTTCGCTTGGCAGGCCTCTCGGCAGGCGTCTCGCCAGACATGTCGGAAATGCCCGGTGAGACAGAAAGACGTCGCTTGCGCTTGTGTGTGGAAGGGCGGTTCAATGGCTGTGTGGCCACTGGGGAGACTGACTCTTCTGAAGACATGCGCAGGGAGGCGGAGAAACCAAGGGCAGGTTGGAGAGTTTTCAGCCAGGGCAAAAGAGGGCTGGTTCTGTTTAATGCCGCTGGCTCAGGTGATGGCGGTGCACAAGTCTGGATGGAGGTGCAGACGAGAGTCGATCGGAAAAAAGAAAGGGGAGAGAAAGGGGAGGAGTGGGGAAAGGCAGAAGGCAGGAACAGGCCAGGCCAGGAGAAGAGGGCAGGAAGAGAGGAGAAGGCAGGAAGAGAGGAGAAGGCAGGAAGAGAGGCGAGGGCAGGAGGAGAGGGCAGGAGGAGAGTCGAGGGCAGGAGGAGAGGGCAGGAGGAGAGGGCGGGAAAGAGGCAAGGGGAAGAGGCAAGGGGAAGAGGCAAGGGGAAGAGGCAGGCAAGGGGAAGCAGAGGAGTGATGTCTGCCTGACGCGCTGTGACCCATGGATGGCCACCGGATCTGAGGTGCGCCAATTAATAAACCATTTTCTGATTGATGCCTGGCCGCGTCGGCGGTGCACCGCATGCGGACACTGGCTTTGGACAAAGAAATGGATCAGACATCCATCATGTCTCCTCCTGCACCGCCGTGTTATTGATGGGATCTGCTGGCCTTCTCGGGGTTGAAAGTCTCGCAAATGTCCGAACTCGAAAGTTGCTAGCCGTGAATGAAAACGCCACAAGACGAGTGGCCAATCAGCTCGCAAAGATCCTTCCGCATTCGGCAGCTCGCAGCCTGGGAGTCTCTAGATGAAGGTGAAAAAGCAAACAAGGCTCTTGCTTTCGGCAGCGTGCGTAATGATCAAACACGACCCACCATCCAACCCGACCCAGCCCACCCTGCCTGTGATTTCGTGAATGCCATGACCGGGGCAGCCGTGATTGCCGCGCGATGCAAAGAGTCCCCGTGGCGGCCTCTCTCCCTTCTCAACCGTCGTGTGCGTGCGACCGGAGGGCCAGCTGCTAGATGTGCTCGGGCGAACTGCTTCAGACTCAGCACAGGTTTGGCACGCCGCGTCATCCACCTATTCTTGCCACCGCTTGCTCAAGTGCCCTGCCGTGCTCGCCGGCTAGTCCTCAAAGGCTCTCCGGGAGGGCACTTGCCACCTCCCCTGCGATACACTCGCTGCCCTTTGGCTGGACGGGAACCCCCTGGTCCGCAATGAGTCGGTGAGCTGGCCAGATCCTGCTGGACGGGTCGTGACTCATGCTCAGCTCAGGAGCGACAGCGCCATGCCAACTTTTTCTTGGATAATGAGCAGGGTTGGCAGGGTAGTGCTATCTGACATGTCTGTTTTTCGTTAACCAGCACCTCTTGAGGAATGGTCCGGTCCGCGAGCTGGACATTGCCATCTCTCTACTTCCGCTGCTACCTCCGGAACATCTGCGGTTTGGTGTGTGTCTGGCTGTGGGTGACAAGGTTATCTCTGGGTCCGTATGGGGAGTGCGTTGCGTATGTGTCGGGCCGTATTGCGCGCACGCGGTGCTGTCCGTACTACTACGTAACTGTGTGGATTGGAGGATGACAAACCACCGGCCAACAGAGCGGAACGCACACACATACACACACACAGAGAGAGAAGGGACTTACCGTCCATTGCTTATTGTGATGCCCAAAATGAAGAAGGTCCAATATTCTCTGATGCGCGTCTCCTTCCCCCGTGCAGTGGAGCAGAGCTGTCCTATCCCACGATCAATCACCCCCAAGTCCCTTGGCGTGGAATTGCTGGCCGATCGCAAGCTCAACCACGGCCTAGACCGCACAGTAAGACCTAGATGCTCCTGCTTTTGTTCTTGCAGTGTTTTCGCCATCGCTGACTTGCACTGTACCGTGTTTCCGTACGGCACTGGGTCTATCTTGTTCAACTCGGTGAAGAGTTGGCCAGGAGGTGTGCCGGGCTTGCCGATACCTGCCTCTTCCTCAACCTCTAGGCGCATCTATCCGGTTGTCCCTTGAGATTGGTGCAGGGGCCTTCAGCCACCGACCAGGGCTATGAGGCAACCCATCGCAGTAGGCGACCGGCTCGTGTCACGGTTCTCCTGCGGCTGACCAAGAGTGTGATCCCATTTGTGGATGCATTTGCCGTCACATCTGCATGCACTTAGGGGCTGTTTTTCATCGCGAGCTATCACTCTGGTTGGGGTCGTGACGCGTAAGTCATGTCCCCGTTGTCCTCTGGCTGATTTAAGACGTCCTCCATTCCCCAAGCAAATTCAATTAGAGTAACTCCATCAAGTTTCCCTTCCTGAACTCAAGTTTTTATCCCGACCACCACTTCTGCCAGCTCTTTCGCAAACATCACTGACGGCTCCTCGTTCTTCTACTCTACAATCCCAGAATGAATCCCTCTTCTTGCGGCGAGTGTGAGATTCAAGTTGTCGCCTTCGGCCTGGACTTTGGTGACACGTAAGCAAATGGCCCCGATCCCCAAATGATCCGTGACTGACGAGCATGATTCCCAAAGGCACTCCGGGGTGGCGATGGAGACCAAGCCGGCCTGCAAGCGGCACGTCACGGCTGCAGGATATCAATCTGTCACCCATGTGCCAAAGTTCCGCACGGTTCTTCACTTTGACGCTGAAGAGGACAAGCTTACGTTTGTTCCGCCTGGAAAATCACCACCCGCGAACACTAAGGAACTTAGCCTCCAGTGTTTGAAGCATCATCTCATGTGCTCAGGAAGGGCTGGCACATTGCTGGACGACCCTGATCTACTGAAGCACGTCGAAAGGGCTAGTAATTTCCCTCGATCTCGCTTCACGAGCTCAGAGAAGGTTGGTATCTTTCTCCGCGGTATGTGGGAGATAGCGCTTCAACAACAAGCTTCCCTTGGCCTTTCAGCCAATACCAAGGTCCGCCGCCTTGCCATCATTACGTATCCCGCACTCTGGGACAATGATGAAACGGGCACCCTCCAGCGCTTTGAGGACGCTGTGGAGTATGCAGGAATCTTCAAGGACGCCTATGACGTTGTGTTTTGCTCGGAGCATCAAGCGGCCTCAAATTCCATAGCCCGCGATTATGGACAGCTTTGGCCGCGGATGGTTGAGGTATGGTTCACACATTCCCCCTCCAGACATGACATACCCGCGTTCAACCAATCTTTCTTTAATCGTCTCTGCCTGCCATGGGTGCAAACTGAACCAAAACTTGCAGGATGGTCAGCCTGTGATTATGGTTGATTGTGGAGGTATCACAATAGTGAGTTCATCCAAGTCTTTTGTTGTCGATGCATACGGCACATGTATTGACGCCAGAAAAAGGACGCCGGCGTTTACATATACCAGCGCGACAGCCGCAACATTTCTTTGTTGAAAGCATATTCAGTTCTCACAGGCCCCAAGGCAGCCGACGTGGCCTTTGGTATACGCCTTGATGCCAAGCTCAAGAAAAAAGGGGTCGATCTGAACGACATTTCTCAAAGAGAAAAAGCGCCGGCTTTGAGATTCTGGGACTCCAAGAAGGAAGTATTCGGGATTGGAGAAATTGAGGGAGCTTGTTTCAATATCGCCGAGCATACCATACACTTCCATAGGTCAGTGAAGATTGGCGTGCTGGCCAGCGAGAAGGATATCTTTACAAATCCACTGCGCATGTGCTAATCAGTGCCACAGCGACGAGTTCATCCTGATATTCAGGAGCGCGTCCAACAGGGTCAGCGAAATGATTGTCGAGCTTTGCAAGGAGGTCGAAGCCGTGGATCACAAGGTGAGAGGAGCCAACTCCAACACTCGCAGACGCTGTGCCCGTGAGGAGGAAAGCTAACAGGTGACCTGCAGCCTATTGTCTTCTTCACTGGCGGCACGCTGTGTGGCACATACGTCCAGTGGATGGTCGAGCTCGATATCAATCAAAAGCTTGGAGATAGACGTCCCAAGCTCGTGTTTGGCGAGGCTGGACAGATGAGAGAAAAACCCTTCCCTTCGTGAGGCTCATCCAATCCCAGCTCTGACAATACCCAGGTGGAATGCTGTGAGCATAGGTGCCGCCTTGCATGCGGACACCGCCCTTATGAGACCCGCCCGACATCCACGAATCGATCCAGGCCCTCAGTGATCGAAGATACTCGAACGGCTGCGCGTCCATCCCGACTTGTCTCCTCTATCGGTTTTCTACAAGTTTGGCGGGTTTGGGGGACTTTGGATACACACGGAACAGAGAGGCTGGGCCGCGCCAGGGGCCCTGGACGGGATGAAGCGTTGGTGTTGGACAGTCCACCTTTTCTCTCCTCTTTTCTCTAGCAGTTCTTTCTTTGTTGCTCTCTCTTAGCTGCTTCTCTCTTGGCTGTTTCTCTCTTAGCTGCTTTCATCTTAGCATTTTTGCTTTGTCGCTTTGCTCTTTGTCGGTTTCTTCTTTGTTGCTTTCTTTATCGCTTCCCGCTCTGCCGTTTTCATCTCAAAGCCCCCCTAGTGTCATTCGAGTGCTCTTCTCCATAGGATTGGCTGCACTGCATAATTTTCCTCTGCGATGATACCAAACATCAGATCGCTAAGCTTGTCATAAGCATCTCTGTTTCTATCTGTCTCTTTATTCCAAAGGGTGTTGGGTAATCAAGGACTGCAGGGTGGTGATAATCAAGAACCATAGATCTCATATCTCTCATAGCCAGAAAATCACAAAAGCATCAGTGTACTTCTTCCTATGGCAGGGCACCAGACAGCGGCCTCCGTAGCTGGTCTGCAACTCGCCTCGACCGCAAATGGGGGCACGGTGGACTCCGTCCTCGCCTCCCGACAATCTCGGCAATCCAACATGGTCGCGTGCGCATTCCCAACCGGGACGGGGAGCATGGGCTGCACCGCCACCGAGATCAACTGCACACATGGGCGGCTGCGGCAACCAACCAGTCCAGGCTCCTTTGAAGTTGGGCGGCAGCGTTCCGGCTCCGAAGAGCAGCTGGCTGAGGCGCAGCTCTCAGCACTGGCTCGATGTCCACGGGCGCAACAATGCAGCGGTCAAGCCGGAGAAGGGTGCGAACAGGCAAGCGTGAGACAAGGGCCTTTACACCGCCGGGACTGAATTTTAGGGCCCATGCTGAGTGCAATGCGCTCTTCCACCGTCTGGGAGAGCCACAGCCCGCTTGGCTCTTGAAGAACCCCGTAGAGAATGAAATGCTGCCAGCGCCATAATTAAACCTCGGTGATCCAATCTTGCTGGCTTTCGACTGCGAGCATAGAACCTATGATAGCTCTATGACTGAACGGTAGGGAGGCCGCAGCTGGTACCCAAATGTTGCCCAACTCGGCGCTCACCTGGAGGGCCAGGCAACCATCGAGCTCGCTGAGCCTGCTCCCTCACGTCGAGGAGAAATTGATTCCTAAACGAGCCCCCCAAGTTATCGACCTGTACGCTCGCATTTCACCGCTATTATGTCCTGTAAGTACCACGCTAAATGGCTACCATGCATTTCGGATCAGAAAAGAACACAGCCGCCAGCACGAGCCTGCAAGCCCAGCCAGTTATCAGCGCCACAAAATTATCGTCTTCTACGTCATTTTACAGCATCACATTACATCATTAGCCGTACTGGGAGAAAGTGCAATGTCAATTATCTCAAACCGATCGTAATCTCAAACCTGTGTGGTACTGCTAGGGAGATATGAAGAAGTCCTAAGAGATCAGATCCGGGGAGGGGCGACTCTCAGCATCCCAGATAATCTTCACCATTCCAAGATGAGATTACAATATCGCAAAGTTCCTAGGTATCTCTAGGTTGGTTAGATCTGGATCAATCAAAAAAAGAAGCAGATAAAGGTATTCATTCACTCAGTCAAGGAAATGGGATTAATCTACAAGGAGTCTCGAAATATTTTTTTTTTGTTTTTTACTTTTGCCAGCATCTGATCCATGCTCTGTACCGTACATAGCAAGTCCGTCGGCGCATCTTCGCAGCTGAACAATGCGCAGATGCCCAGCGACACTACTTGATTAGAGCAACACAGCCCAAGAGCTTAAATGTGACGACGACGACTATCTCGAGCATTCTACAATTCTACTCACTTGCTTCCCTTAACACTCCAAATCCTGTCTCGCTACGAGGTGGTTCGGATTGTCGGGACTGAAGAAGTCTGAGACGCCATGCTAATATTAATATGCGCTGCGCTGTAATTACGAAGCTTGGTCGGCAGGTGTCGCAGAGCAGGATAGGCTTACCCCTTTCGATGGGCGAGATAGATCAACCTCCATATTTGGCTTTGGAAACTGCTGCCGTCGCGAAATTTCAAGGCAGTGCTACCAACGTTGGCCGGAAAATACAGAATGCAGAGCTGAGGTTATTCATCCAGGTAGACGAAAAAGCCAATGTCATGTCTACACACAGTTCCCACCCACAGCCAACCACAGCCAGGCCATCGGATCGCCCATCTCCCCAGGCCGACACCGCATCGACACTGCGAAATGAGGCGTGTGGTCGGGGCCAGGTGCCCATCGCGGCGACATCGACCCCATCGAGCGCCGAGTCGACGCAAGGCAGCGTCATGGCGATGAGGCAGAGGCCGCAATCAGCGATCTCCGTCCTTTGCTGACTCGCCACGGATCCGGCATCACACCGTCGCTCAGCTGTGGGCCTGGCCTGCGCACTTGCTTCCCCGCCGAGCTCCACTCTGTGCGTGCTCCTCACAGCTCTCGTCATCGTGTCTCTGGCGATCAATTCACGCGCCCACTCGAGCTGGAGGTCAGACTCTCCAACGACTATTCTTCGAAAAACTTCCCGTGTTCTCCTCCCCGGACGTGGCATCGGGCATCTTGCAGAAATCGGTATTGTGTTTGATTCTAGTCACGGTCACCGCGTTGACGCTTGCCGCCACAGATATTAATACGCAGTCGACCCGTAGGACGGAGCTGAGCGCAGGTGGCGGCGCGAGATCGTCTCTCCATTAAGGGAAAAGCCGTGAACGAGATTGGACTCGCTGGCGAAGATGCGTAGCAAGTCTCTCATGGCCTTTCCCTGGCTGGGGGCAAGATGCACACGCACTTGTGCCGGTCTATCAGTGTGGCCTCCTGGACCAGGTAATGAGGTTGCAATTGATCGTCTCGACCATGTCGTCAGACGAGGACCAGGTCAAAATGATAGGCAGAGATACGAGCAGTGTTTCAAAGCATGGAGGTGGTGGGATCCGATCGCCAGCGTACTGCGCTAGTAGTGAGCTGTTGGCTGCTTGCTAATTTTTCCCAACGACCTGATCGGCACAACGAAAGTTCTAGATCCAAAAGTATGATATGATACTGCTGCTGCTGGTGCTGCTCGCCTGTCTCTTAAACACCAGCGATGCTTTGGGTGCATTGCCAAAGCCAAATATTCGAGTCTGTTCGGCGGACTACGAGAAGAAACCCGAAGCACTGGGCTAGTGGGGAGGAGACATGATGCATTGGTTTTCTCGTAAATGTCGCTTCACGATAGGCAGGGGCCTTGTGGACGAGGGCAGCCCCGTGTGCTTTTTGCTCTTGGAAGAGTGAGATGTAATAGGCACGGATGAAGAGTCGGTAATGGATCTAATCGTTCAGTATCGAGTGGACCTGAAAGAATAGATGAGCTTCCACAGAACTCTCAGCCAAGACGAATCAATACCATCTATTCTTCTAGTCTCAGCAAAGAAAGCAAAGCGAAGAGAAGAAAAGAAAACATAGACCCATAAGGCAACGCAACATGTAATTAGGGTTCAGAAAACACAACTAGATGTCCGTTCGCACTTGGCGAGAAAGCATTTCGAGGACCAGTTCCATCGTCTCTGCTTGATTGGCTACTTGATTGTGGTTGTAACTGGTAATATAGTTCTCAATTAGGATTGACAAGCTCTTCCGGGTAGTATGCTTTACAACCTGCTTGATCTGATTAAATATATGTATATCGGCGCTTCCCTCTCGTGATACCTCCGCGACGATAACAGATATAGGGAGCCGCCCGGCACCACCATCCGAGATGTGCGCACCCGTGTCCATACCCAGTACAGCGCCCGTAGGGTGGGCGGCTGCCGTCCGACAACTAAGAGGTGACCATTGCCCGAGTCATCATTCATGCGTCGGTCGTGTGAAGAAAGAAGAACCGAGTCAACAACCATCCACTGCGGCAATGCTAGATGTCACGAATTCTCTTTGATGTACCTGCCCGAGCTAGGTTGTGTCTGCACAAGCGTCAATTCCATCCAGTAACAGCTCTCAGCACAGATGCGTGCACACACAGCTGGCAATGAGCCAACAGTCAAGGGCCAGCGGCAATGCATATCTCAAGTTCTCTCTGCAATCATGCCATTGAGATGTTGTTTTGCGCGGAGCGTACGGAAGTGACAGATTGGCCGGATCTGCATTGTCCGACCCTGCCGGGCACCGAATTCCAAGGCCTCGAGTTGCTTGAGTTGTTGCCTCGAGCTTGTCTCAATCCAATTGGCCGGCCGGGTCGGCAGGTCTAGTCAGGTCTAGCTGGCATTCCAAGGCCCATGTTATTGTCGTTTCCTTCTTCCCCACCCACACCTTCCCATTCCCTTTCTCGCGCGTGGCGCTTGTCAGGGCGTTGCTAGTCTAACTGCTCCCCTGCTCGAGTCAAGCAGGTCCGGACCTGGTTTCTATGTGGCCTACCTACGTGGGTGGCTTGCCCACCGGCCGACCTCTGCTCGGCAGGGCGCCGCGCGCAGGGCAAAAATTAGCAATTTCGGCCATCTCCCCGACTGTCAAGTCGACCAAGCGGGCTGGCGTGGCCTGTCACCGGCAAGCCACACCTTACACCTCCTGGTAGCATCCGGCCCTTGACTACCTACCTAGCGGCCGAGGGCGGCTCGTACGACGCGTGCAACAGGAGCAGCTAGCAAGTCAGTGCGTGCGCACACGCATCAGGGTTTTCACCGAGTAAGCTCGGGGCTGGTCGGAGTGCTATGGTGCCATGAGAGGTCCACGACAGAAAGGTCTAGCGACCTAGGTGAAGCAAAGTGTGCACCATTACAGCCAAAGCAGAAAACGGAATGGTCTGCTCGAAACAGAAGAACTTGTCGCAAAGATCCCTGCAGCACACGTCTTGCTCTCTGAAACATCCTTTGCCCGGATGGGACAGTGCTGCGAGGGTGTCTGGGCCCGTCACGAGCCTGGCAGGCATGGAGCATTCGATATCTCATCCCCCACACACGTGGGCCCTCCTTGTAGCGCCCTTGGCGCTGCGAGAGCCAATTCGTGCCGAGAGGAGCACCCCCTGCTCTGGTCAGAAGTCAGTCATCGTGTATGGAGCAAGTGCGTACCGACTTGTACTTCGTGCTGTGAGCTTGGCACGTTTGGAACCTCTGGGGAAGATGCTCCGCTCGGTGCTGGCATGTCGACATCTCCCAAGCGTATCTGGCCCACTGATCTCCACCTGATTCCCGACTCACCAGGGCATCGTACCTATGTCTCTCTCTATCTTTCACCCTACGTAATGCTAGTAGCCATGTACGACGTCTGTACAGTAGGTAGTCAGTTCCGTCAGTCGGAGAAGTCGCCATCCTCTGTCTCTCCTGTCGGCCACAACTCCATTTCGGGGTCCGGACGGGTCCCATGTCTTCGAGATGGATAGATAATACAAGTCCCTTCCTTCTTAGACTACCCCGGTTTCTCGGCAGTCGAGTCCTCTGTTCTGTCTTCTCCCTTCTCCCTCCCCGCTTGACTCCATTCTTCATAGTTCTTGAGGCCAGACGTGACTTTTGGACGACATGGCTGCGTCAAGGAGTAACAGTGTCAGCCGGCCACCGGTGTCGAGGCGCAGCAGCACGAATCCGCCAGCAGTCTCGAGGAATGCCAGCGTCGGGAGCCGTATTGTGCCGCCGACTCCTGGTGTGCACTCTCCCGGCCTGCAGTCCCCGGGCTTCCTGTCTCCGGGCCATGGCTTCGACTTTGGCTTCAACGAGATCGACGTCTCAAGGGGCGGCAACTGCTTCCAGTCCTTCAGCGTCCCTCATCTCCCCTCCCAGGACGACCGCTTCAGCGTCACCAGCCCGCGCCTGAGGCACTCGCGGTTCCTCTCGGCGAGCCACTCCATGGCCAGCGCCAAGACGTACAAGCCGCGGCCGTACTTCAAGTCTCGGCGGATCCGGAAGGGCACCATTGACCGCCCGGAGCTGAGAGAGAGGGATCCCCGCGCCGTGTGGATCACTCTCATCCCCTGCATCGGCTTTGCCATCGGCGCCATCATGATCGCCTTCTTTTCCTACAGGGGCTACACCTCCATCTCCAACTACGAGTACTGCACAGTATTTGTCGACGACTTCTCCAACGGATTCAACACCAGCATCTGGACAAAGGAGGTCGAGACTGGCGGCTTTGGGTAAGCTCATCTGATCGACACTTATTGACGCTCTGATGCTAATGCCTGATGCCAGTGGCGGTTCGTTTGAGATGACCACCGGCGGCGATGAGAATGTCTTCGTCCGCGACAACCAGCTGGTCATCAAGCCTACCATCTGGGACAAGACTTACATCGACAACACCCGGCTGGTCAACTTGACTGCCGATGGCACTTGCACGTCGACATCTCCCGACAACTGCGTCCTGTCTGCCAACCTCACGGCAGGTGAGATCGTGCAGCCCGTCAAGTCCGGCCGCATCAGCACCAAGAAGTTCCACGTCATCCGCTACGGCCGGGTCGACATGACCGTCAAGGTCGCCCGGGGCGACTGGCTGCTGTCCCAGCTCATGATGTGGCCCGCCGAGAACTACTACGGCGCCTGGCCGGCCTCGGGCGAGATCGACATCGGCATGATCCGCGGCAACAACTACTCGTACGGCAAAGGCGAGGGCAACCAGCTCCTGCAGAGCTCGCTCCACTGGGGGCCCGACCCGACCACCGACCGCTGGCAGACGACCAATGCCGTGCGCAACGCGCTCGTGGGCCAGACCTGGGGCGACGAGTTCCACCGGTTCGGCGTGGAGTGGACCAAGAACTACCTCTTCACCTGGGTCGACAGCCGCCTCGCCCAGGTCGAGTACGTCAAGTTCAACCAGGACTTCTTCGACCTCGGCGGTTACGGCCCCACCTACAAGAACGGATCCAAGATTGTGAACCCCTGGGTGACGAAGGGCGCGACCCATGCCACTCCCTTCGACCGCCCCTTCTACCTGGTCATCGGCTTGACGGTCGGCGGCACCTCTGGCTGGTTCGCCGACGGCGTGCAGGATAAGCCGTGGGCCGACGCGTCCCTGAAGCCGAGGAAGGACTTTTGGGACGGTAGGGACCAGTGGGCTCCGACGTGGTCCAAGCCGGGCTACGGCGAGATGATTGTCGAAAAGGTCGCCATGTACCAGCAGTGTGACAATGGCGCCACCGACCTTTCGGCCTTTGATTAAGGTTTCTGCATCTAATTACTTCAACCTCGTCACTTTTTTTTCCTAGTCTATCTTAACAGCGAGCATCTGCAGGAACAGGAGTCTATAGAGAGCGTTTGTTTTCTTCTTACAGACTGGATATATATCTAATGCCGACTATACTTTCCTTACATGTTTGAAGTCTAATACCAATACCCTCCTCACCATGCCTCCCTGCCGACTTGTCGTCGACTTTGGGCTCCTGTCAAAAGGCGCCACACCGACGCTACAGGGCGCGGGTGCACCTCTACCACCGTCCACCACGCGGGAGAGGCGCGGGAGTGGCTGAGCCGCAGCGGGAGATGTGCAGTCCCTGACTCGCTCCGGCTCCACTCGCACATTCCACGCAAGGGGCCGATGGACCCGTGCATGGCCTTTTTGGGCAGGTACTTCGCGGTGGGGGGTTGGACGCCGTCGAGAAGTGTTTACTACTGCTCATTAAGATTGCATCATATGCTTAACTGTAGCTGTCGTGATCTGCAGGATCTCCCTCCGGGTGCCGGTCATCGTGTAGATAGATCTTCTAATTGAGCGCTGAGAAGCGCGCTTCTCAGCTATCAATCGGATGATCTGGAGATCAAAGATTGCGCATCTCGATAAAAGACAATTCTTTCTTTCTATTATTAAAATCTCCAGACGGTGAGACTCGGTGAGACAGGACGGGGAGCTAGGACCCGGAAAAGTCGAATGTTGGTACGGTGCCCAGGTTCGAACAAGCCGAGCCGTGTCCCAAAACTTTACGAGTTGAAGGGACACCGGCACTGACATCCGGGGTCTGGAATGACTCGGCAGGCATACCCACAGAAAGAATCATTCGTCGGGCATTCAATTTACAACTGTTTATCCCTCCTCGTTTCACGGGTTTGCACGGCAGAGCACTGTTGAGTGAGAGTGAGAGTGAGAGAGAAAAAAAACAAAGAGTCAAGTGTCTCACATTCTTCAACACTAATAGCAAGACATGCCAGGACCAGGCCCTGGCCTTAGCGCCAGGCTAGCCTCGTACATGTTCGCACACGTTCCCTGATACATACTATGAACTCCCACTCAAGTGGTTCGCCCGTGCTCTGCCATATGGAGAACGTGTGTTGTCTCGGTCGAGATTGTCTTGGGGGAATGACTCTCTTGTCTCCGATGACAGGTTGTGTCCCAGGCGAGCCCAATGACGACACTGCCAAGATGCGCGGCTCGTGGCCACCATGCTGCCGGGACGAGTCCCTGGCCTGCAACTGACTCTCTGGCTCTGGTTCTGGACGGGGCGACGACTCCATCGGTCTGAGTCTGACTTTCTATCCTTGGGCCTACCTATCGCTCCTCGGTAAAAGTGCTAACTTTACGTGCTGGTCGAGAGGGTTACTGACTGACCAATACCGGAACCGGCTAGCTCTCTGTATCGTGAAGCTCATCGTCTACATGAAATCCTGACGACCGGGGATGCTGTCGTGCATCGTCACCGCCATCACCCCTCCTCACTCCAACACACCACACACACACACAGCAACGCAATGCTGTGCATATTCTTCCTCGTCGGCCTGCTGCCCCTGCTGTCGGCGGCAGCAGTCAACGCGACATTTCACACGTCGCCCAAGCGCGGGCTGGTCTACATCCCCAACCCAAAATTCCCCGAGGACAACGCGATATGGATCCAGAAGGGGTCGGACATGACGTGGTACTACAATTACAAGCCCTACCCGAGCCCGGAGTACATCAACAAGACGCAGCTCGAGTTCGTGCCCATGCTCTGGGGCGCGCCGCCGAGCTTCACCGACACGTCCTTCCTCGAGAACGTGACGGCGCAGATCGTGCGCGGCGACAACATCACCTACGTCATGGGCTTCAACGAGCCCGACAACACGGGCACGACGGGCGGCAGCAACATCGACCCATCGGACGCGGCGAAGTACTGGAAGAAGCAGCTCGAGCCCCTGCGCAAGCTCGGCGTGCACCTCGGGGCGCCGGGAGTGACGGGCGGCGCCGCGGGATTCACCTGGCTCGCCGCCTTTGAGAAGGCGTGCGACGGGGGTTGCACCTTTGACTTCATCCCGATCCATTGGTACGGCAGCTTCGACGGCATGGTGAGCCACATCTACGACGTGCTGGCCATCTACCCGAACAAGAAGATCTGGGTCACCGAGTTTGCGCTCAACGATGCGAGCCTGGCCGACACGCAGGAGTTCTTCCAGACGTCAGTGACATGGCTGGACAATAATGAGTATGTGTAGATTGATCTTGGGCTTGCAAGATCTTTTGTTGCCGTGTCGGACTGATTACTGACTGGTTCTTTTATCTATTAGCAACGTCACCCACTACTCATACTTTGGTGCCTTCCGGTCATCTACGTCCAACGTCGGTATTAACGTTGCCTTTTTGAACTCCTTTGGCAAGCTGACCGACATTGGAAGCTGGTATTTGGGAGGCAAAGCGACCGGCATCAAGCCGGACAACGTCACGATTGCGTCCAACACAACTGCTGGCCCTCCAACGCCGACTTATACGGTACCACCGCTGGTTACTAAAAAGTCTGCAGCCGACATTGTGTCAAGCCCTAGTTTCTTCAGCTTTTTGGGACTTGGTATCATGGCGGCAATGGCTCTTTGACCATGTGATTGGGTTTGAGTGTTCATCATGCATTTTATTCATAATTAGCGTTTCTCACTCTTTTGGCGTTTGGAAAGACTCATATTATTGAATACCCCGAATAAATCACTTAGACTTCCAATTGAATATTTCTAATTAGACAACAATTCTTGATAATTTGCATCATCTTCATCTCCATGAATTGCCAACACTTCTGCTGCCATTCAGAGGCCTTCAAGATCCACGTGGGTATGCTCGTCAAACCTTCAGTCTTCGTACCTGCATTGCCTATCTATCTCAATTGCAAAAGACATCCGACTACTCCGCCCAGGGGGAATCGTTCGTTTGTCGCTGTGGTAACCTCATTCAGGAATGTGGCCCGATTGGGAGGGCCAGATTCATGGCATGTCTTACAACTCCCAATGCGGCCTAGTCGGCCACTTGCTGTATACACCGATGCGGGCGAGTCAAGCTCTTTAAGCGGCTTGGTGCCACACTTTTGTTCCCACAACTTGACCCACAGTCACTCGAGTCTGTAAGTAGGTAGGTAGGTATGCGAGATCGTTCGTAGGGAGCCTCCCCATCCGAGCCCTTGTCAACGCTCTCCGCCGTATATCTCTTGCCGATGCAGGAACCGCTCCATTGGAATGTCTTACAAACATCTGTCGGCCTCGTTCTAGCTCTGCAACCGGAGCAGACGGCTCGAGGGCCTCGAGTCATCTAGGCTAGCCTGGCATCGTCACACCCTCCTGTCACCCCCGCTCAGCTCACCTTGGACTGCATCGGGGCCCTAGGCAACTGTTGCTAGCTTTCTTGCGAGAGAAAAACGTTGACGGCACAGCGGGGTCAGAGTTTGGCACGATGGCGAACGTGGCGCTTTTTCATTATCTCATGGGACGGGCTCACGGGCTTGACTCGGAGACGGGGCGCGCGGGCGGCAAAGTTGATTCCATGACACCCTAGAAGCCCTATCGCATATTCCCTCCATTGGAGAGCCAGCTGTGCGCTATACACCTACACTCTTTTCTCACGACCCTGCTTCGCCATCACAACACCGCAATGGTCTTTTCATTTCCATAGCTTGCCAGCGACGACGACGACGACGACGACGACGACGCAGCAATGGGCAGCGAGCCGCCCGGCCCCAAGACTCCGGTCGTGAAGACACCGAGGCCGAGGACACCGCACGCAGGGGGAAGTATTGTCAGGGAGCATGGACAGAGATCGCCAAGAGCACCGCCCAGCCCTGGAGGCTACGCACCACCGCCGCAGCTCAACCCCCACGACCTCTTCAACAGATTACACGAGCTGACAGTCAAAGAGTCGACTATCTTGCCAAAGGTATGTCAGAGTGGTAACAGCTGGCATATGTAGTACTCATGTCCTTATCTCTTGTGCAGATCGCCCTCATCGGAGATAAATCCAGCGGAAAGACCTCGCTATTCGAAGCTCTCACCGGACTGTCGTTTCCGGCAGCAAGTCGGCCACTCACAAACTTCGCCATCCACGCACATTTCAAACGTACACAAGGGGGAAAGTCCAGCGTCAAGGCATATATCCGACCTGGAGCGCTCGACAGCCAATTTGCAGCTGCCGTCCAGCATTTGGAGCGATTCGAGGTGGACCAGGCCGGACCCCTCACTGGAGATGACTTCGTCAACATACTGCAAGATGTAAGTCGCACACTTGATCACTCTGTCTCACACTAGCTAACAATACCTCAGGCTGCAGATCATATGGATATCACCATCGCAGACCCAGAGTCTCGCGATGATGAATCAGAAGCCGAGACCGAGCGAGTACTCTCAGACAACGTTCTCGTCGTCGAGGTGTCTGGACCCGATGTTCATGGTCTGAGTGTCGTGGACTTTCCTGGTCTCATGCACAGTATGTAATTTCCATCTGGTTCTGATTATACCTGGCTAACAAAACATCCAGATTCTTCGCTGCATGATGCTCATGAGATTGAGGCCATCAGGAGCTTGGTGATGGAATACATCAAGGAGCCCCACACAATCATATTGTGCGTTTGCCCTACTCCACACAAACGCTTATAGCCCTCCAAGCAAAGAGCCAAGGACTAACATTTCCCAGAACTACGGTCGATGCTACCAACCAGATTGGCAACCAAGAGGCACTCGAGTTCGCCCGCGCTGTTGACCCTGAAGGTCATCGGACTGTCGGTGTGCTCACCAAGTGCGATCTTGTCCAGCGTGGCGATGAGAAGAGGGTAAGTTTTCGCCATGAACTCGCTCAACCCATGCTTTTCACACCGACTAACCCACCCCCACAGGTCCTCAAGATCTGCCGCAACAAGGATCACCGCCTGGAGAAAGGATGGTTCGCCGTCAAGAACAGGTCGACCCAGGAGCGGCGGGACGGCTACGACCTCGAGCAGCGCAACGCCAGCGAGACGGCCTTCTTCGCGCGCGCGCCCTGGAGCACGCTCAACCACAGCCGCGCGGGCCTCGCCTCACTGAGGACGTACCTGGGCGACATGGTCAACAGCGTGCTGCAGGACAACATCAGCATGCTGGTCGAGAAGCTGCGGACCATGTCCGAGTCGACCGACTCGACGACGCGGCACCCGCACCACCTCGACCACCTGCAGCGCATTGACGAGAAGAGGGACCTCTACGACGAGACCGGCACGGCGACGACGGACCCCGTCTCCATCACCGACGATACCAGCACGGGCCAGCTCGACCCCGATGTGGAAGTCGGCAGCGTCAAGAGGCGGCCCACGCCGCTTATCAATGCTTGCACTGTGGCGCTGACGGTCGCTCTGAACCTGACTCTGATCGGCCTGTCCTGCGGCGAAGTGGCCCAGGAGATTGCGACGGATGGCAACTACTGGCGTCTGTTCCTGCTGGTGACTGCGCCTCTGCAGTTCTTCGTCAGTTTGGTAAGTACCCGGTCAACCCGCAGACTTGTAGACGAGTCTTTCTCCTTACGAAGCAAATGCTGACCTCTGCGGGCTGCTATTAGTTCTTCTGCCAATCTCTCATCAACACCATCGCCCAGCTGATTGGCCCCGTCAGCCAGTTGAGGCGCAACTCCAAGTTCTACTCTGCTCATCCCGTAAAGCGTCTCAACATCAAGGACGGCCCGCTCCCGCACGTCACCGTCCAGTGCCCCGTCTACAAGGAGGGCCTGGAGGCCGTCATCGTGCCGACCGTGGAGTCCCTCGAGGCCGCGATCCGCGACTACGAGTCCCACGGCGGCACGGCCAACATCTTTATGAACGACGACGGCATGCAGCTGCTCTCGCCCGAGGAGGCGGCGGAGCGGCGCGCCTTCTACGTCGCGCACAACATCGGCTGGGTGGCGCGGCCCAAGCACAACCCCGGCGGCGAGGGCCTGCAGAAGTTCCTGCGGCGCGGCAAGTTCAAGAAGGCCTCCAACATGAACTACGCGCTCGGCATCAGCCTCAAGGTCGAGGACAAGCTGGTCGACATCGACCGCACCGGCACGGGCGTGTGGACCTCGGTCGACGAGGAGGAGGCGTACCAGCGCTGCCTGGCCGAGGTGCTCGAGGAGGAGGAGGGCCGGGCCTGGGCGGACGGCGACATCCGCGTCGGCGACTACATCCTCATCATCGACTCGGATACCCGCGTGCCCGTGGAGTGCATGATCGACGCGGTCAGCGAGATGGAGGAGTCGCCGCAGGTCGCCATCATCCAGTTCTCCTCGGGCGTCATGAACGTCACCACCAGCTTCTTCGAGACGGGCATCACCTTCTTCACCGAGCTGGTCTATACCGCCATCCGCTTCGCCGTCGCCAACGGTGATGTCTCGCCTTTCGTCGGCCACAACGCCTTCCTCCGCTGGTCGGCGCTGCAGGAGGTCAGCTTCGTCGACGACGGCATCGTCAAGCAGGACGACGAGGGCTACCTGAAGCCCGGCGACAGGGACCCCAACTCCACGACCCCCTACGAGAAGTTCTGGTCGGAATCCCACGTCTCGGAGGACTTTGACATCTCGCTGCGCCTGCAGACGATGGGCTACCACATCCGGCTGGGCGCCTACTGCGGCGAGGACTTCAAGGAGGGCGTCTCGCTGACCGTCTACGACGAGCTCGCGCGGTGGGAGAAGTACGCCTACGGCTGCAACGAGCTGCTCTTCCACCCGGTCAAGTACTGGCCGCGGCGCGGCATCTTCACGCCGCTCTTCAAGCGCTTCATCTTCTCCAACATGCCGCTGGGCTCCAAGGTGACGATCCTGGCCTACATCGGCACCTACTACGCCATCGGGTACACGTGGTTCGGCACGCTGCTCAACTACTTCCTCATCGGCTGGCTCAACGGCCACCTGGACCACTACTACATGGACAGCTGGCGCGTCTGGGTCGCGCTCGTGGTCGTCTTCTCGGGCGCGGGCAACCTCGCGCTCGCCATCGTGCGCTACCGCGGCGAGGGCGCCAACCTCGCGCACCAGATCTGGACGTGCTTCCGGTGGGTTCCCTTGCTGTTCATCTTCCTCGGCGGCATCTCGATGCACGTCTGCCAGGCGCTGCTGTGCCACATGTTCTCGATCAGCATGACGTGGGGCGCGACGTCCAAGGAGGCGACCGACACGTCCTTCTTCATCGAGATGCCCATGATCGCGCGGCGGTTCAAGTTCGTCTTCATCTTCTGCTTCGCCATGATCGCGCTCATGGTCTGCGGCGTCTTTGCGTTCCCGTACCTGTGGCGCATCACGCAGGTCATCGCCATCTTCCCGCTCGCCTGCGTCGTCTTCAGCCACTTCTGCCTGCCGGTGCTGCTGAACCCGGCGCTGATGAAGTTTACCTGGTAGAGAATATTTGTTTTTTTTTCTTGGCTAGTTTGATCCGGGCTTTTGTTGTTTTCTTCCTCTTTCTTGCGGGCAACGGGAGAATAAGGAAATCATGCAAGCAAATAGATCGCTAGAACGATGTACATGTTCAACTGTTATGTGTATATAATATGAATTAGACAAATGTAATATCTGTCTTTCAAAGACAATACTTCAACTTTACAGTCGCAAGGAAATTATGAGACTATTATTCACGTTCCTCCAATGCTGACGCTAACCTGCAATGTTGAACGCAAACAGTCAAATCATCCCCAATGGACGTGCTGTATAGATGTTGAACATCTAATTACTAACTACATAGTGAGCCAGGCTGAGTGACAAATGTACCAGAAACATTCTCCCAGCGAATTCCCACATATTATTATTACACTTTGCATAATCTAACAGAGAGTTGACAAACGCCACGTCTAGCCCAGCCCACCACGGTTTCAACACCAGCGCAAAGGTCGACGCAAATGCAAGGTTTTCCCGAGGCCTAGTGAGTGATGACAAGATCGAATCTATGTCCCGAATCTATGTCCCGAATCTATGCGCCCAAATCTTTTGCGCCGAAAATATGCCAGCGATCCTCCCCCCCCCCCAACTCTTCCACCTGATGATGATCTCAATACTAGAAATCCCAGCAAGCCCGATCGGATTACTAGGGGTTTTACCGATAAACCTCCGCACCTACCAAGAGTTCGAGCCGCTGCTGACTTCCTACTCCATCCCGTCGGGCAGGTACTCGGTTGTCTTGGAGTAGGTCTCCTTGTCGTCGTAGAACCAGGGCTCGTCGCGCATCTCGGTCTCCTCCTTGGTGATGACGAGCGGGCGGCCGCGGTAGTCGAGGCGCAGGCCGGGCCAGACGAAGCTGCGCCACATGTAGCCGAGGATGCTGGGGTCCTCGAGGCTGGGGGCGATGTGCGGGCCCACGAGCTCGCGGTGCTTGCGCGGCAGCACGGACCAGTGCAGGCCCGGGTAGAGGTGGTGCACGGTGTGGTAGCCGTTGTTGAAGCACAGGTAGTTGAGGACAGGGTCGGTGAAGTTGCGGGCAAAGTTGTACTTGGAGGTGATGTCGCAGCCGTCGTGCTGCAGCAGGTTGAGCGACAGGATGCAGTACTTTGCGTAGAACTGCGGCAGCAGGGCGTACCAGGCCCAGCGGCGCCAGTCGAGCAGCAGCAGCACGGCGGCGGCGCCGAAGACGGCGGCCTCCTCGAGCCGGCGCTGGCGGGCGATGGGGCGGCCGAGGCGGGCCTGCGCGGCAAAGTAGAGCTTGTCGTCCCTGTTGCCCGAGAGCACCACGTGCCAGAAGAACAGGAGGCCATTCAGCAGGTTCCAGCTGTACCGGACTTTGGTGGTGCGCACTGATTGATAAGGGGAGGGCCGAAGCCCAAGGTGGTTAGCCCAGGGTCTGGTTCTCCATCATCTCGGCATCTGCGGATCAAGATTGAATGCAGCAAAGGGAAGGGAAGGGAAGGGGGATGGTGGTGTGGTGTGGTGTGTGGTGTGTGGTGTGGGTGTGGGCGGAGGTGGAGGAGGTGTGGGTGTCAAATGGTACGACAGGGGTGGGTGCGGGCCGGGTAGCTCGGAGGAGAGATTAGACTAATGTAAGATTTTTTGTCTGTTTGTCGTTTCTTTTTGTTTCTGGCACTCACTGACGTCTCTGGCCTGCTGCGGGTACTTGTGGTGCGACAGGTTGTGGCCCGGCACGAAGACGGACACGGAGCCGCCGTACTGCAGCGACAGGCAGACCTGGTAGAAGCTGTTGAGGCTCTTGTCGAAGAAGACGGGCAGGTGGACGGCGTTGTGCGTCGCCACGGCGCCCATGAAGGACAGCTGGAACAGCGCGAGCCAGGTCGCCCACGACAGCAGGCCGCCGCTCCAGGGCGACGCGAAGCTGTGCCAGGCGTACACGAAGACGGCGAAGAACAGCGCCGTGCAGACGAGGGGCCGCACGTCCTCCTGGTGCCGCAGCAAGGGCTTGCTGGGCGTGAGCTTGGCCGCCCGCGCTGCCGCCGTCTTGAGGACCGCCATGGATGGTTTGGAGGCGAGGATGGGATGATGTATGTGTGTGTTTGAGATCGCGTGCGTGCGTGTGAAGAGGAGTCAAAGAGACGAGGCAGATGGATGGATGGTCGGTCGCATCAACGGCTGCTTGCCAGCACAGCACCTGCAGGTTTCATGAAACACAGGGTTGCAGCAGGCAAAAGATCATACATAGATCTAGGCCGTTGGGCAAAGGAGGACGGACGGGGAAATTTCACGGCAACGCTGGGAGCGAGAGCGAGACATTCCATTCCACGTAATTGGAGTGGTGGCTGAGCAGCCCTGGCGCTGAGCCCCCTATTATGACGCCCGCGGCGGAACCCGAACCCCCTGGGATTTGGGGGGGAATTGCGGTGGAGCGGCGCGCACATGCACCCCCAACAAAACGCCCCGTTCCCTAACTACAAGTACCTATACGCGCACACAGTCACGCTAGCTACCTAGAGTTACAAGTAATTGCCGTAGGGCTGAGATCGTCAGGGACGGGATTGATTGAAACCCCTTAATTGTTAATTGCCTGACGGAGTAGTCGGAATAGTTGACCACCTCCAGCTATGAGTAGTTACGTACCTAGGTAGTTACTTGTACATGACAGACCACTAGCCATAAACCATGAGCAGTGTAAAGAGGCAATTGGGATTTGAACCGATCGAGGTAGGTACAAGACGCGACAATCTGCATGCATCATCAACCGAGATGAAAGGCGTGCGATGATAGGAAGAGACGAAACCCATCGATGACAAACACATGGGATGATCAGAGGAGGAAAAAAAAAGAACAAGGCCCCTCCTCTCCTGACGATCCGTCACTGAAACCAGGCCATCCATCCATCCATCCATCCATCCATCCATCCATCCATCCATCCCCGTTCCCGTCCATCCTACTCGCGCTTCTCCAGCCGGCACGTCAGCCCCGTCTGCCGCGGGAACCACGACGACACAATGACAAACTTGCTCGGCACCGCCGGCGGCAGGATGCGGTACCGGTTGACCAGCGTGGCCGCGACCTTGTAGATCTCGAGCGTCGCCACGTTGCGCCCGATGCAGATGCGCGACCCGCCGCCAAACGTCAGGTCCGCCGCGTTCATCCGCCGCAGCCGCTGCTGGTAGTCGGCCTCGGGCTCGCCCTCGCGCGCCAGCCACCGCTCGGGCCGGAACTCGTCCGCGTCGGCGCCCCAGACCGACCTGTTGCGCCCCATGACGTACGGGTTGATCCCGACGCCCGTGCCCGCCGGCACGAAGCCGCCGCCCGCCGGCAGCGACAGCCCGCCCTCGGGCACGTAGCGCTCGAGCAGCATGCCCACGCCCGGGTGCAGGCGCATGGCCTCGCGCACGGCGCCGTCGAGGAAGGGCAGCGTGCGCGCCGCGCTGTAGGGCACCACGCCGGCCCGGTCGAAGCCCGCCGCCAGCACCTCGTCCTCGAGCCGCCGCAGCGCCGCCGGGTTGGTCATGAGGAAGTGGAAGAGGGCGCGCAGCGTGATGGCCGTCGTGTCGGCGCCCGCCAGCATGTTGACCTGCAGGTAGCCCAGGATGAGCTTCTCGTCCACCACGTCCGGGTTCTTGACCTTGGCCTCGACAAAGTGGTCCAGGAAGTCGCGCTCCTCGACCGGCTTCTCGTCCAGCAGGCCCGCCGCCTGCTGCTTGAGCCGGTCGACCATCTTGCCAAACGAGATGCGCGTCACGTTCTGTAGGTTCGGCGGGCCGATCCGCTTGATCGGGTTCTTGTCCAGCAGGTAGTCGAGGAAGGGCATCTGGCCCACCATGCCCAGGTAGTCGGCCACCAGGTCGGCGATGTGGATGGTCCCGTCGTGGTCGTAGGCCGACTCCATGTACCCGAAGCGCTTGCTGAACGTCGCCGAGCTGATAAAGTCCCAGGCATCTATTGTTGCTATTAGTTTTTGTCTCTCTCTCTCTCTCTTGATTCTTGTCGCTCTCAAAAAAGAAAACTACTCACAAAACGCAATCCACTCTCCCAAGTTGCAGTCTTTGCCACCCTTGATGAAGCGCTTCTCGAGGTGGCCGCAGAAGTCCTGAAGAACCTCGTCCACACGACCCTCTAGGGATAGGACATTGCTCATGGAGTAGTACTTGACCACAGGCCGCTTCATCCGGGCGTGCTCGGCCTGGTCTGTCTGGCTGAAGAGATGGTAGGTGATCTTTCCGTCGACGATGGCGCTGCTGTTGTGGTAGAACTCGGTCTGTTTTGTTGTTTCGTCATTGTATCAGTATACTAGATCCACCAACGAGTAGTCTGCAATGCAATGTGAGATGGCAAGGGCCTCTCCAAGGACCAACCTTTTTGTATTTCCCGTCAGTGCCATACAGTGTCTTGATGAGCTCCGGGTAGTCCAAGTCCAATGTGTTGGGCCCAATTTGCACGACGGGTCCGTATTTCTTGTGAAGCTTCTCGATGGTAAACTGGTAGTCCTGTTTGTATAATTGGTACATCCTCCAGAGATTTGTCCATTCTGTACGACGAGAACGAATCAAGATCACCCCGTCAGCATAGGGGCAAAGACATCGAAAGCAATCAAACAGATGGGTTTATAGGTTGGCATCGGCACTTACTTGCCCAGAACGGCCCCGGAAACCTTCTCAGAGGAGATGTGAAGTGTGAAACCAGCGCCCAAACGAGAAAAAGCGAAACAACAGAGGCACAGATGTAGAACGGCCCCAGCGCGCGGGCCTTCTCTTGCAGGAAAGCTAATGTGGGAGACATGGTGAGCGGCGTCAGATCAGTCAGGTCTTGTCCACCCAAAGACTACACAGGAGTCTGCCAGGTCTGCCCTTTCGAAGCCATTTCGCACACTTTATACTAGTTCTAGAGGTCGACTATCGTCTCGGCTTGCATTGGCGCAACTCAGCCTCAGCGATGCATCCGAAAGACGCCTTCCGAACGAGCTTCCCTAGCAACCCGGCTCCAGGCCCTCCCCACAAGGCTAGACCCCCAGACGGCAAGGAGTGGGAAATGAGACCTGCGGGGGAGGAGATATGGGGTGCGGCGTCTCAACCATGGGGTTGACCAAGATGCGGAGGCGAGGAGGCTAAGAGACATGATCTGCCGGCCATCGCGACACTAGTGAGAACTTATTCGGAAGCCCTTTTCGGAAGCTGTCCAGCTAACCCGAAACCCGAAACTATGTTTCTTCGCGTCGAGACTAACCAACGCTGCATGCCTACTCGATCAGCATTCTTCGCCACGCTTGGCCAGCTTTCGCCCTGTGGTGAGACGGTGACGCTACTAACAAACGAAGAAGCACGTACAACTTCCAAAGAGATGACATTACTGCCCTGGACCATAATAACAATCTCTCAAAACAAAAGGGGGGGTATTGTATTAAGTACAGGTAATGCTCATAGCATGGATCCGTCCATGAGCGGAAACAACTGAAGGTCTATGTTACTCGAGTCAAAGTCAATCATCCGTGGAGACAGCGAGAGGATCGTGTCCGGCAGGCCCCCAAACATCTGATTCCTGCCGCCGCCACCCATGCCCATGTCCTCCAGGTCCTGCTGCTGCTGCAGCTCCATGGCCCCCGAGCCGGTGGCGCCCTGGCGCTGGGATCCCTTGTCCGTGCACGGCGGGGTGGGGTTCATCCCCGCGTAGTACTGGGGCATGTGCATGGCGGCCGCGTACTCCTCGTCAGCCTGCCCGACCGTAGTCTGCGGCGAGATGGGCTGGAACATGGCGCCCGGGCCCGGCGAGTTGGCAGCAGCGGGTGCAGGAGGAGGAGGAGGAGGAGGAGGGGGGGGAGGCAGATCCGGGCCGAAAATCACCGACGAGGGAAGGCCCTCGTCGCCGGCGCCGCCCTCGACGGTGCCGAAGAAGCTGTCGATGAGCAGGCTGTGGCGCTCGCGGTTGAAGCGGGCGCGGCACTCGACCGAGGCGTCGCAGGCGGCCTGGAGGTCGGCGGCGATGGCGGCGTACCGCCGGGCGACGGGGTCGTAGCGGCCGAACTTGTCGAGCAGGCGCTGGCCGAGGACGAGGCTCTTGTCGAGCGGGAAGAGGCGGTCGAAGTCGCCGAGCTGCGCGAGCCCGACGACCATGGTGGCGACGAAGGTGACGTTGACGACGTAGGGCTGCCGCCGCGGCACCTTTGTCGCGGCGAGGAGGTGGCGGTGCAGGACGAGCGACTGCACGGCCGAGTTGATGCACGCGTAGGTCAGCACCTCGTTGGTCTGGGAGGGAGGAGGAGGAGGAGGAGGCGGAGGCGGCGGCTGTTCCGAGCTGCTGCTGCTACTACCCCTATCCGCGGGACTGGAGCGGGAGATGTGCGCGGTGATGTGCTCGACGAGGAAGGGCCGGGTGAGCAGCATGACGGACCAGTGGTAGGCGCCCTTGAGGTTGACGAGCCCGATGTTGGGCGTGCGCAGGTTGTCGGCCTCGACGTGCTCGCCGAGCTGGAGGTTGTCGGCGGCGAGGCCCTGGGCGAAGCGCGCGGTCCAGAGGCGGTACCGGCGGCCGATCTGGTCGATGGTGGCGGTGGAGACGGGGCACTTGGAGTAGACCTCGGTCAGGATGGCCTCGAAGATGGAGCACAGGTCGAGGCAGGCCGAGTAGCGGGCCGCGTCCTCGGCCTTGGTGTCGCGCGTCTCGGCCGTCGACCGGGGCCGGCCCATGCTGGCGCTGAGGTAGATGTCGAGGATGCGCAGGACGCGCCAGAGGCGCTCGCGCGTCGAGTACTCGTCGGGCGGGTAGACGGCGTTGATGTCGCCGCGGTGGATGCCGAGCGCGTAGGCGGCGCGCACGGCGTTGCCGAGCTGGATGAAGGCCTCGTTGCGGCGCGACTGGCCGAGCAGGAACATGGTGATCATGCTGTAGGCCTGGATGATGGGGATGCTGGCCGACACGGCCGCGCGCGACAGCAGCAGGTAGCGCGCGTAGTTGAAGTAGACCTCGGCCGCGCTGTCGTCGCCGTCGGGCGCCGTCTGCGCGCCGATGGCCAGGACGAGGTAGAAGATGGCCTTTTGCTCCACGTCGCCGGCGTCGATGCCGCAGCCCTTCTCGTCGTGCCCTCTGTCGGAGCGGCCGTCCAGGCCGGCGCCGTCGCTCCGAGGCGATCCCCTCGACGACGATGACGACGACAACGATTCCTGCTCTAGCCACCTGAACATGGACTCCCTCAGCTGCGTATAGTCGAACAGGTGGCTCAGCAGACAGTCGGTGGAGCGAAGATACCAGGTCAGATAATGGGTCGCCTCGGTCAGCGACGGGGCTCGGAGCGGGCTCCGGATGGTCGACACGATCCAGTTGGTGGCGTCGTCGTTGGGCTCAGCCTCGACAAAGACATGCTGCAGGGGGTCGTCGGTGAAGGCGCAGAAGCCGACCGACTGCCTGAAGAGCCGGCGGATGACTTGCAGAAAGCAGACGTTGGCCGAGTCGCCGAGGAAGAAGAGACTCCTCCCCTTGTCGGCCCTGTCGGCCTGGATGAGGCGGGAGAGGTGCCGGGGTACGGAAGCGGGCGACGCGGCGAGCACCGAGTCCAGGGACGGGCTGTGGTGATATACTGGCGCCGAGGCACTGGTCTGTGCGGACGCGGCGCCCTCGGTGGGACGGAAGCCGTCGATGTCAATCGAGCGGCAGGGCTGCGAATATGCGGCCGGGGACGGAGCCTGCACCTGCGATGCTGATGATGATAATGGGGCCGGGGCCTGCTGCGTCTGGGGCAGAGGCCGCGAGAAGACACACCCGTAGGCGACGCCGCGTGCGATGCAGCGGTTGCAAGGCTGCTGGCCGTCGCAGCGCTCCTTTCTGCGCTTGCAGGTGCGGCAGGCCTGGGGACAGCGACGGCGCTCCGAAGACTTTGTTGTCCGCGGGGCCATGATAGTTAGATGGGGTTTGTTTTACTTCAGTCTGTGATGGTGCTTCTCGATCTGTCTTGCTCATGACACGGGTCTGGTGGGAACGAGTCTCCTCGGTTTCCTGCCCATCGACAGATGGACTGGCACCGGGTGACTTTTGCTTTTCCCTGAACGCATCCCCCTCGTCACGAGCCGGCTAACTCTGGCTAACTCTGTCTCTGCTAGCCCGGATTGGGCTGTTTGGGACATTTGGCGCTGGTGGTGGCTCTTGGGGAGACGACGCCTCCATACCCCGCACGAAAGGGATTGACAGATCTGGAGCAACTGGAGCAACTGGAGCAACTGCAGTCACGGCAACAGCGCTGGAGCCTCTTTCGCGGGGACACGGGCGCCAAGACAACTCCACAACCACTGAACGAACCAGCCCTCCCAGCCGTAGCCTGCTCCAAAAATGCCTGATGTGTGTGTGTGTGGGTGGCCAGCTGGAACTGCAACCCCCGGATGCTTGATGCCAATTGGCCCAGCGCGCCGGGTCGACCCTCAGGGCGGCTTTTTACCACACCCCTGATTGGCCTCCCAGCTTTCACATGCCGGCAACTCGCGAGCGCATCCGAAATCCATCGGAAGCGTTTTTTCGGCTCGAAATCAAATCCCGGATCTGGAGGAAACAAGCGACGGGCCCGCATTCCTCCTCGGGTCCCCCGGCTCGACCCCAGGATGGCTACTATTCTCGGTAGTTGGGGCTAGATGTCCAGAATGGTAGGTAACTAGGTCAGAGGCTTGGTTGTCAAGGCCAAGAGAGGAGGACCTTCTGCTTCATGCATCAGATCAGATGTGCCAAGCTCCTTTCTGGATTGCTTGATCACGCCGAGTCGCGCTCTTCAGAGCGTTGTTCTACAGTTCAAACTGGATACTCATAGATGCTGGAGTCTTTGGGTTTCTCGACCAGGTTCCATTCACAGCATGACTTGGGATAAGAGATGTCCCGTTTCATCTAGAGCTCCAGCCAACCAGCCACGCTCCTCGTGTTGCTTCATTTCAGTCAACGGCTGCATGGTCCGCTTACCCTCGCCCCTCAAGACGTCGATCCTCCTTTCCACCATTCACGCTCGGGGATATCTCGCCTTCTCCAAACCATCTCTGATTCAAGCTTCTCCAATAGACCGTACTTCACGCCCAGCTTTTCCTAGCCGCACAGCTGAGCCAAAATCGGCCGCTAGGCGATAGTCTGACCGGATCCGCCGTGCGGTCATCTCCCCAGTCTAGTCTCCGAAATGATTCGTCCAAGTCTCTCTGTGACGTTGTCTCCCTTCCCTCCTGTTCCGCATTCTCCATAGACCGTAGTCAAGTTTTCGCGGCGGACCAAGTACAAACTGCCCAGGCTATGTATAGTCGAATTCTCAGTCACCCGCTATCTGCAAATTCTCATCTACTAGATGTTACCACTGCGAGCGTCATCGCCCCAGATTAGGTGGGCTCCTCCGACTCCGACTAGGGGATTGGACAGGCTCGCATTAGATAGGTAGACCGGGGTGTTGCCTCGAATCACGGCTCAAACGTCGCTGGCGGATTGGTTCGCCACCCAGATCAATTGAAAAGAATTGCGACGCATCAATTTGACCTTTGCCTCATTGGCTATTGGAAAGCACCGCCCCGCAGAAGCTGACTTCACACAACCCAAACTAATCTTCATTGGCCTTGAAAGGGACGTCGTCATAATCTAGGATCACAAGAGTGAAGACTGAGCAGATCGCTCCTCGTTTGCAAAGCCAATACCGGGGGAAGCCCCAACAGAGCTAGGCTCTGGCAGTCGAAAGAATTTCAGACCAATGCATCGAAACACAAGATGTGGAAAATGCATCTTCACCCCCGCAAGGTTCAACTTTTTCGGCTGTTATACAAGTCTTGCTTTTCGTAGCGACTTTGCTTTAGTAAACGGGTTCATTCTTGAGAAGAGTGGTCCTACCTTGGCAGCAAAAAGGTGAAGTCGTTGCCACTTTCATCAAATCATGCAACAGAGATGAGATGAAACTCCAGCTTTGAGAGCTACAAGAAATACCGTGCCGGTTCATTGTAAAACGCCTGCTTTTCCTTGGAAACAGAAGGGTCCAAGACGTCCGCTTCATCGCTCGCACGCTAGAGCCGAGTGAAGGACTACCTAGTTGATTTGATGGGGCTATTGGGCACGAAGCTCAGGTTAATCGAGTCTTTGCGCAGATATGCTGGTGACAGTCTCGCTATGAACCTTGGCCCAAGTATAGTTAGTATAAGTCAGCATTCAGTGTTTTTTTTTTTTAATTGTTCCTACCCATCACTCCGGAATGCTCGGTGTTCGACACAAATACCATTGCTGTCAAGTGCGGGGAAATCGCGGCATATCCAGGAAAGTGGCGGGAAGTTATATATATATATATATATAAGGTTTTCCTATGACGGAAACGCAGAGGACACGAGCAACGGTAGATGCTTACACGCACATGTTGTAGTCATCATTGTACTATATAGTTCGTGCACTTACAGCCATTAGACAGCAACGCACTGTCTATCCATCGCGGACCTACCTTCTTCGAGGATCACCTACCAGATTAACCTCATCACCGAGCGACGAGGGATCATGGACCCCCGTACCACCAACGAAGTCCCCTACCCCTTCTCCTTCGAGAGCGGCAAGAGGATAGAAGCAGAGCCCCGCGCCGACGGCACCCGCAGCACCACAATCACATTCCCCAACGTCCGCGGCCGCCTGCCCTCGGCGCAGGCCTCGCGCCTGCGCTCCATGATGCTCGAGGCCCACGCCGACGCAGCCAAGATCCTCGCCTTCCCTTGCTCCTACGACGCGCTGTCGTCCCGGCTCGTCGAGGAGGCCGGCTTCCCGCTGCTCTTCCTGTCCGGGTACGCCGTCGCCAGTTCGCACGGCCTGCCGGACACGGGCTACGTCGCCATGCAGGAGATGTGCGACAAGCTGCAGGAGACGGCGCGGCAGACGTCGGTGCCCATAGTGGCGGACGGCGACACCGGGTACGGGGGCCCGATGAACGTCCGGAGGACGGTGGAGAGCTTCGCGCTGGCCGGCGCGGCGGGGGTGATGATTGAGGACCAGACTTGGCCGAAGCGTGGGTCTCTTTGTTTCCATGCTTGATGAGATGCGCGGTATGTTGATCTGAGAACGAAAACAATAGGTTGTGGCCATACGCGTGGGAAGACGGTTGTGCCTCGTGAGGAGGCGTTTGCGCGGATCCAAGCGGCATGCGATGCTAGAGACAACGGGCTAGACATTTTCATCTTGGCCCGCACGGACTCACTCATCCTCGGATGGGACGAGGCGATGTATAGGGCGAAGGAGTTTGCGAGGATAGGAGCCGATGGCATCTTCATCGAGGCCCTGCCTGACCGGGACGCGATGAGGCGAGCTGTAGAGGAGGTCAAGATGCCGATGCTAGCTAACAGTGAGTCATTCACCCTGCTCGCCTCTACCGCTGGAAATCTAACCGTTCCTAGTCATTGAAGGGGGTTTGACCGAGAACCTGTCTGCGTCAGAGCTAGCAGACATAGGCTTTAGTGCTGTTGCCTATCCATTCACTCTCGTTGCAGCCAAGTTGAAGAGTATCCGGGACACGTTACGAGCTCTGAAGGCCAGTCTTCCAGTCGGGCCGCCGCCCATGATCCTATCTGCAGAAGAAGTCTGTGAAGGGGTAGGCTTCAACATGTACTGGGTATGTCATTGAGTCTTTGTGCAATAATTCTTGCAACTGATTGGCCTGTTTTTAGGAACTTGAAAAACGGTATGCTTTCACTACAAATGGGCAGAACGGTGCATTAGGGGCGAACTCAAACACCAAGGCTATTGGGAGCAGGACTGTGGACAATACGCCGGGCGCAAGTGAGGATCTCAATGGCAGAAGGTGACTACTTGGTGGTGCTACGGCTCTTTCCTTTTAGGTCCATATATTCTTGATGCCTACATTACTCTGGAAATAAAGGGAAATTCCATAACAGGCCCCAGTTCCCATCCTCAGGCCCAGCCGGTCCAACGTCCTCGTCTGTTCCCGGTCCGAACGGATCAAGCGGTATGGAAAACCAGTTTTGAGAATTCCGAAAGCTTTGCATGTCAGCAAGATTGACCTCGTCGTTTGGATTCATCATGCCCTCATCGAGGTTCGCATCAGAGACTAGTTCGGCGAAGGACGCTTCTTGCCGCAGAGTCTGGGTGGCAAAGTTCTCTTTGTAATGTTTGACGTGACCATCCAGCACGGTGGCATAGCGTGCCGCGAGTTCCAAGTCGTCCCATGTACCTCTATGGAGAGCGTCAATTCCATATTGCAGCTGGTTCAACGTAGTTTCGAACTTTCTCCTCTCGACGCCAAGCCCGAGGGCTTTGAGGAGGAAGACGGATGCGGCAATGATGCGTATTGTGACACGAGTCGGGCAGTACTGCAGCGTCCCATTGTCGGCAAGGCGCACCGCAATGTGGATGATCTGGCATGCTGCCTCGATCACCTCGTTGATGAACTGTAGGTCCGCGGTGGTGCCGAAGTTCTGTATCCAAACCCCACTGTTTCGGTTGGGGGCGCTGGAGGAAGACCGGTCAACCACTGCCCGCATCCCCAGGCTGTTGAGAAACATGACGTTGTAAAAGTACTCAATTGCTAACAGCTCATATGCCTGTCGTGAAAGAACTATAGGTCAAAGATTATCAGTGAACAGGTCTAAAGAAGAGTCAGGTTCCACTCACCTTTCTCGTCCAGATAGGTTACCCGCCAAGCCACAAGCTGTTGTTGCAAGTCCTGAACGCTATTCACGTATTCGTAACTTTGGATTAGCTCTCGGGTAGCGGCCGTGGAAGAAAACAGGGCCTTTGACATGGACCTGGCAAACTCGGCAAGCTTGAGCTGACCATTCACAAACTTTCGCTTCTGTTCCAGTTCGAGGCACGACTCCTCGGGCAAGGGCTCGAAAGCAGAAGAGCTCAAGCTAGGAGGGATGAGCGACGAGGACCCCAGTCGACTCGAAAACTGCTCGTCTGCGATGAAGATCACTTTGCGCAGGCGAACGGACGCCATGCGCCGCTGCTGCTCTTGCTGTGTGCTGATACTGCTATCTGTTGTCTTGGACTTCATCGCACCAAACAGGCCGATCTCGTGACCGAGGGTCACGGCACAGCCCAGGAGCATCCACGACATGCGGTCGATCATCTTTGCCGGGGCGACCACATCCCTGAACCAGCTTCCGTGTATATCCTGAATGACGTCGGCTTCGTTTCCACCTGGCTGATCCCTCTCATCTGGGAACTGAAACAACAGGTCCGAGTCCCAGCCGTCCGACTTGGGCGGGAAGTAGACAGCTCTAGGTGCCCATTCAGTAATGAGCATCAGGGCTTGTATCGATCCGAATGTGCGAGTTTTGGCCTTGGACTTCTTCTCCTGACCAAAGATGATCCTAGTCACCAGGTGCTGGCAGTGCTCCCACAGACGGTCATGAAGGGCCACGCTTCTTGACCAGCTTGATGTGCCTTGGAGGCAGTGAAAACGGGCCGATATCATCAAGATGGTGCAGCAGAGCAGAGGCTCCTGTGTCAGGAGAGTGTAGTGGTTCTTATGGTGGCTATACAGATCGTCGAGAATAGGGGAGAGGGGAGAGAGGTTTTTGAAGAAGCTGCAGGATTAGCTTAATCGAAGTCGCAAAGAGGATAGAAGTCGTACTTACAGGTCAATGTACGTGACTGCCTCCCGCGCTGTCAGCCACCCCATACGGACGAATCGTAGACTATTCCATAGACGGAGCAATTCACTGCTCGGATCGGACAGTGCTGAAGTCAGAGGACCAATAGCCCTTGAGCGATCTACCCCAGGAGACTTCATCACATCCGCGGCATCTCCACCTCCCGCCTGATGTCCCGACGGGCGTTGCAACACCTTCAAGGTATCACCGGCGTTGGAGATCGAAGCAATGACAACATTCTCATTCTCAGCTTCCTCAGTGTCTGTGTGCGCTGCCATGGATCTGAAGTCAGGTATTCGGCCGTGCTGTACCTGTTGTGGGGAAGGCCGCATCGAGGTCGGTCGTGTTCTTGCAGAGGCAAGGAGATCTGAATGGGTTTCCGAAGCTGAGGCCGGTAGGTCCCATGCCGTCGACTCCGCCTGATTGCACCCAGCATTGCCATCTCTGCGACTGACACTCTCCTTGGATGATCCTCCCGGCGATGCGGCCTTGGTTAGAGAGCATGGTCTGCGTTCCCGTTTGCATTTTCTACAAGCGCTCTGCGGCTCGTCAGGTTCATCCAAGATGCACCTCGTCTTCTTCCTCTTGCACGTATCACAAGCTTTGAAGATGCGCACATAGTCGCGGGAACGACTTGCTGATACCCGGTCCGGGGTCGGCCTAGACCGGCTGCTTCGATTATGACGAGGCACAGAGCCCATCGTGTGCCATCGCCCAACAATGCATTTCAGTATTGTAGTCCATCATTGGATCGATGAGAGGGGAAACTTTGTGGAGTCGGCACTAGACAGTGCGGCCAACTGAGCCAAGAGTTGCCCCAATTTTCCACATACCGACACGATTTCCGAAGGAGGCGATTTCCCGATGCCTCACATCACATATACTGGCTAGCCATATCAGGAGGATGCCGAAGAGCCCTATGTCAGGGTTTCAAGCTCTACGATGAAGACGCTACGAAGAAGAGTAAATGATTGATCACAAATACCAACCGGAGTGGCCTACGACCTTTAAGCCAGAAGGGAGTTCAGAGGGTAAGTATTGTCCCTACTAACTCGCACAGTTGCATTTGTAGCCTTTTGTTGCTCAATATAAACGTTCAAACCGGCCAATGTTGTTGTTGGTTGTATCACGAGTGGCGGGTTGTATTTATATGAAGACGTGCAATCGATCTCAGATGGAATATGGCGGGATATGACGGTAAGAGTGATGATGAACATGAGAACTTGAGTTCAGAATCAGACAGCATGGTTCGTATTTCGAGAATCGGCAAATTGGTCGCCACGACGTCGGGGTTTGAGAAAAGCTTTCCAAGACTTTGACCGTTCTCGGAGGCTTTTGACTTGGCAAGCTAGTGTTGCGCTGCCAAGATTCCAGAGGATCCCGCAAGTTGCCTAGGAACTCCGTGAATTTCCCGACGGCACACGCCGCTCCTTGAGGTGCCGCGAGATTCCTCACTCAATCATTCGTCCATTAATTCCATTAGAGTTCAGAGCGACCCTGGCCTCCTCATCTCTCTGAGAGATCCCGTCAAATACCTGACCGCCAAACCCTGCATCCCTTGCCCCGTGGGGAAAGCTGGCAAGCGTTAGGACTTGCCAAGTCTGGACGATCTCTTTCGGGCCAATTGAATGCTTCGCGATCAAATTTTATTGGATAATTGCTTTCCATCTCCTCTGGAAGATATATAATTCATGGAATCCACCACCCGGCTGGGTCTCCATGCTGAAGTTGTTGTGTGATGCTTCTGCCCACGTTCGCGAGGACTGCTCTCGTGTCATCGTAATTTGATCCAAAATGAGCACTGCAAACCCCGACGTCATGGATGTCGAGAATACCAAGGTGTCCATGGAGGGACGCCATCGCGTACCGGTGCCAGTGGACGCAGACCGACGTGTCAGACGCATGGTGCGCACTCCTTCGTCCATTCATCGTTGATGCCCAGACAGCGCCAGTCAACTAATCAATTGCATCTAGTTTGACTTCCGTGTCTTGCCCATCGTCTGCTGCCTCTATGTCCTATCGTACCTGGACCGTGGCAACATCGGCAACGCAAAGACCGCCGGAGCCCAGGACTCCCTGGGCCTCAGTTCTTCTCAGTGGGCCTGGGTGCTCAACTCGTTTTACATCGCCTACATCCTCTTCGAATGGACGACCATGTTCTGGAAGATCTTCCCTGCCCACATCTACGTCGCTGTTTTGTGTCTCGGGTAGGTCGTGTCGATGAGAACACAGAGCAAAGCTTGGCACTAACGATGCGTAGGTGGGGAGCGGCGGCCATGAGCTCTGGTGCAGCTAGACACATGACTGACCTGGTCGTCACCCGCGTCTTTCTCGGCATCTTCGAGGCTACCTTTGGAGCTGGTGCTCCCTACTTCCTTTCTTGCATCTACAAGAGAGAAGAGCTCGGACTCCGGATGTCCATCCTACTCGGCATGTCACCACTAGCAAACACCTTCGCCTCGAGTCTGGCATACGGAATTACTCACATCCGCGGATCCCTGGAGCCATGGAGACTCCTGTTCATCATTGGTAAGATCCGAAAGGACTTCTCACTGAGACGCAATGCTAACTATTCCTTTCAGAGGGCGCGCCAACTATCCTCTTCGCTCCAATCGTGTACTTCTTCCTCATCGACTCACCTGCCACCGCCAATTTCCTAACCGAAGAGGAAAAGACCTATGCCGTCGAGCGTCTGCAGGTCCGAGACAACACCTCCAAGCAGGCCGTCAGCTGGAAGCAGATCGTCGCCGGCATGATTGACTACAAGAACTACGTCCACGCCATCATGCACTTCTGCGCCAACTTCTCCTTCGCCGCCCTGTCCAACTTCCTGCCCACCATCGTGCACAACATGGGCTACGACTCGATCACGGCCCAGGGCCTGACGGCTCCCGCCTACTTCGTCGCCTTCCTGCTGTGCATCGCCGCCGCCTTCGTCTCGGACAGGTACGGCAGCCGCGGCTTCATCGTGGCCGGGTTCAGCGCCGTGGGTACCGTGGGCTATGGCCTGCTCGCCGGGGTCCGCGACATGAGCCAGACGGGGCCCAGGTACGCCGGTGTGTGGCTCGCGGCGTGCGGGATCTTCCCGGCCCTCGCGATGAACATCACCTGGCTGCTGAACAACCAGGGAGGAGACTCCAAGAAGGGAGCTGGCCTCGCCATCTCGCTCATTATCGGCCAGTGCTCGTCGCTCATCAGCAGTACCGTGTTTCCCAAGGAGGATGCGTACGTTGGACTCCTCTCCCGCTCTTTACACTGGATGAAAGCTAACATTGTCGCAGACCGTACTTTACTATTGGATGTGCCATCGGGTGTGGCATGAGCGGTCTCATTGTCATCTTGGCCCTGATCATGCACTTTGCCCTGGTTCGGGAGAACAAACGCAAGGATGCGCTGTATGGACCTGTGGACCCCGACATGGAAGTCGACGTTTCGGAGCAGGGAGACTACAACAGGAATTTTCGCTACTTCACTTAGATAGAGTGTCACCCACTCCCGTGGAGACACGGTGGTAAAGCTTCTCCATGCCACTCCCGCATTTGCTTGCATTTATGTCGTGCAGGCAGGCAACGTTCTGGTGGCCTGGGATCAGATCTATTTCTAGCCTAGATGCGCTCGAAAATTCTTGGGGAGTATATCGAATGTTGCTTCAATTTGACGCTGGAATGTCTCCGATTCTGGGTTGTAGGAATACAAGTGACGGTAATTGGTGCGCTTAATCGTGTGTTGTGCTCTATTGTGCCGGCTTACGATGTTCTGGACGCTAGATGGCACCTCCATGATAATTACAACAAGTTTCCGGCATTGAGAACGAAGTCGCTCAACGCCCTCGACTGCCAAGTGCTCCCCGCTGTGAATTGATGGATTCAGGAAGATGCCATCTATCAAGTTGACCTGCCATTGCGGGGCTGCATCTCAGACCCTTGATCTCCGACTTCCTCAAAGCACTGACGGAGTTCCTCTCACGGAGCTTACCATCTGCCACTGCGCCACCTGCCGGCACTCTACTGGCCAGCTCTTCGCCTCTTACCTACCGCTGCCGGCGGGGCTCGAACCTGGTCTGGACGGGCTGCGAGCCTGGTCCAGTCCCTCTGGCCAGAGCGTACGCTACTTCTGTACCCGATGCGGCTGCCACGTCTTCATCCAACGAGACACCGGTTGGTCCGTCGCGACAGGCACAATCGTCTCGGAGCCCGATGAGTTTGGCGCACGGTTCGTGCAGCACCGAAATGTAGCAGACGCGGGTGATGGGGGCCTGGCGCCATTCCTCAAGGCCATCGATGGCGTAGAACTCTCATCAGACATGCCTATGCCGTCATCGCCTGAGACTCAAGCCCGAACTCCTTCCGCCACGGACATTCTCCCTGCAAGCTGCGCCTGCAAAGCCGTGTCGCTCCTCATAAGTCGACCCGACGCGTCGTCTCTCCTGCCGCACAGCCACTTCCCAGACCTCATGGTCGCCTATCGCGACGCCTCCCCCGCCAACCCCTCCGACGTGAAGTGGTGGCTGTGTCCCCGCAGCACAACCGACCATACGGAGCCGGTAGACATCGCCAACGCGACTGGCTATCTGGCGGGTACTTGCGCCTGTCAGACGTGCCGCCTGGTGTCCGGCTTCGAGATCCAGTCGTGGGCGTTCATACCCGAGGGCAACATCCGGATCCGCTGTGCTGCTCCTCCTGCTGCTGACACAGCCACCGACGTCTCGTCGACAGAGGACTTCCAACCCCTCGCCACATTCTTTTCCGACCCGCTCCATAGCCAAAGGACAGGCAATCTGGGATCCTATGCGTCTAGCCCCGGCGTGACCCGCAACTTCTGCGTCCACTGCGGCGCCACGATCTTTTGGCGCGGCCGGCACGGTGGTCCGAGCTTGATCGACGTCTCGGCCGGCCTGCTCCGTGCCGAGAGTGGGGCGAGGGCGGAGGCGGAGGGCTGGCTTCAGTGGTGGAAGGGGCGTGTCAGTTTTGCGGAGGAGGCTTCGTTGGGTCGGGAGGGTGCTGCTGCGCGCAGGGCTATTGCGTTGGTTAAGGGATTAGAAGATGGAATGGGGGAGGACAACACTTGAGTACATGAAATTCTGCACCTCAAATACGTATCTTATTTGTCTTTCGATCCTTTCGTCGACTCGATGATTCGGCATCCAAGCTATGCGCATCCCCAAACCGCGGGAACCGTCCTGTGTCAAGTCTTAAACATAGAACAGATTATGTTTTGAGCGAGGCTCCAGTTGAAAGTGTATGCTAACACCTACCGGTTGCTCACTGCAGTAAAAGGAACTTTGTATATACATGCGGTTTTATCCTGCCGTCGTTAACTTTCTATATATGAAATATTCGACGCAGATTGCCCAACAATAGGTATGAAACAACGAGTGGTGCCATGAGGTGCCTGCAACTTAGCTAGTTCACATACAATCTGAGATATAGACTGTTAAAGACCGGACTGGAAATGCTATTTTAGATGTCCAAGTTGTCTTTCGTGTTTGGTCCATTGGTTCTTTCAAGTCCTGCATGAATCTGGAAAATGGGCCCTAATCACCGATATGGCTCTCTTCTTTCATCATATGAGATATTAATCCACTTTTCTGTGAACAATCCTGCAACTAAGGCTAACGATACTATGCCACACTGCCCATACAGGTCATCTAGTTGAAAGTAACTAGAGGGACTGCCCGCAACGCGGCCTTAGACTGCCTGTGATGTACCTAGGTAGGTAAGAAATTAGATACCTAATATATAAGGTATTAATACAGGCCACTAAATCAAGTCTGTTCAGGCTAAGGACTGCTATTAAAATCAAGCCTGTTAGGGCTAAAAGCCACTGTAGAATCAAGTCTATTAGGACTACTGGAATAAGTCTATCAAGCTGTTAAACCTACTAAGTCTATCATATCTACCTTATCAAGCCTGTCAAGGCCTGTTAAAATCAAGCCTATCAGGCCTGTCAAAATCGAGACCGTCAGGCCTGTCAAAATCAACCCCGTCAAGGCCACTGGCCCGTCAAAATCAAGCCCGTCAGGCCCGTCGAAATCAAGCCCGTCAGGCCCGTCAAAATCAAGCCCGTCAAGGCCACTGGCCCGTCAAAATCAAGCCCGTCAAGCCCGTCAAAATCAAGCCCGTCAAGGCGGCTGGCCCGTATGAAATCAAGCCCGTCAAGCCCGTCCAGGCCACTGGCCTGTATCAAAATCGAGCCCGTCAAAATCAAGCCCATCAAGGCCACTGGCCTGTCAAAATCAAGCCCGTCCAGCCGGCTGGCCCATATCAAAATCGAGCCCGTCAAGACCACTAAATCAAGCCCGTCAAGGCCCGTCAAAATCAAGCCCGTCAAGGCGGCTGGCCTGTATCAAATCAAGCCCGTCAAGCCGGTCCAGGCCACTGGCCTGTATCAAAATCAGGCCCGTCAAAATCAAGCCCGTCAAGGCCACTGAATCAAGCCCGTCAAGGCGGCTGGCCCGTATCAAATCAAGCCCGTCAGGCCCGTCAAAATCAAGCCCGTCAAGGCCACTGGCCTATCAACCCCGTCAAGCCCGTCAAGGCCACTGGCCCATATCAAAATCGAGCCCGTCCAGGCCACTGGCCCGTATCAAATCAAGCCCGTCAAAATCAAGCCTGTCAAGGCCACTGGCCTGTATCAAAATCAAGCCCACCAAGCCCGTCAAAACCAAGCCCATCAAGGCGGCTGGCCCGTATCAAAATCGAGCCCGTCAAAATCAAGCCCGTCAAGGCCACTGAATCAAGCCCGTCAAGGCGGCTGGCCCGTATCAAATCAAGCCCGTCAGGCCCGTCGAAATCAAGCCCGTCAGGGCCACTGGCCCGTCAAAATCAAGCCCGTCAAGGCGGCTGGCCCGTATCAAAATCGAGCCCGTCAAGGCCACTGAATCAAGGCCGTCAAGGCCACTGACCCGTATCAAAATCAAGGCCACTGGCCTGTCGAAATCAAGCCCGTCAAGGCGGCTGGCCCGTATCAAAATCGAGCCCGTCAAGGCCACTGAATCAAGGCCGTCAAGGCCACTGACCCGTATCAAAATCGAGCCCGTCAAGGCCGCTGGCCCGTATCAAAATCGAGCCCGTCAAGGCCGCTGGCCCGTATCAAAATCGAGCCCGTCAAGGCGGCTGGCCCGTATCAAAATCAAGGCCGTCAAGGCCACTGACCCGTATCAAAATCAAGGCCATCAGGCCTGTCAAAATCAAGCCCGTCAAGGCGGCTGGCCCGTCAATCAAGCCCATCAAGGCCACTGGCCTGTGGCCCGTCAATCAAGGCCGTCAAGGCCATCAAGGCCACTGGCCCATCAATCAAGCCCATCAAGGCCACTGGCCCATGGCCTGTCAATCAAGCCCGTCAAGGCTGTCAAGCCCATCAAGCCCATCAGGGCCACTGGCCCGTAGCCCATCAATCAAGCCCGTCAAGGCTATCAAGCCCATCAAGCCTGTCAGGGCCACTGGCCCATCAAGCCCATCAGGGCTACTGGCCCGTAGCCCATCAATCAAGCCCGTCAAGGCT